GGGTGAGACTAATCAATAAGGCTGGCAGCAGCCTCAGAGGCAGGCGGGGCATTCTACCGGTCAGTATAGGTAAAGATTTGCCATTTTTTATGTTTTATTTTTTTGGTCTTTTTGAGACAGAGTCTCCCTGTAGCCACAGCTGGCCCTAATTTGCTATGGAGACCAGACTGGTCTCAAACTCACAGAGATCCACCTGCCTCTGCTTCCCGAGTGCTGGGACTAAAGGCATGCACCACATCTGACAAGATTTGTTAATTTTTAAGAAATTCTGTCAACTAAATTTTATTTTTATTGATTTCTTGTATTAATTTTCCATTCTCTATTGTATGCCTATTGTATTCTGTATTATTTCTTTATTTTTGGATATTTTTTCTAGTTTCTAACGTAGGATATTAGGGTATTAATTTGAGATCTTTTTATCTTTTTTAAAAAAGATGACTTATAGGCCGGGTGTGGTGGTGTATGTCTTTAGTCCCAGCACCTGGGAGGCAGAAGTAGGTGGATCTCTGTGAGTTCAAGGCCAGTCTGGTCTATATAGCAAGTTCTAGGCCAGCTGAGGCTACAGGGAGACCCCGTCTCAAAAAGACCAAATTAAAAAAAAAAAAAAATATATATATATATATTATTTGTTTGTGTATGTGCATGTGTGAGTTTATGTGTAACACATATATGCAGGTATCTGCAGAGGTCAGAGGACATTGGATCCCCTGGAACTGGAGTTACAGGCAGTTGTGAGCCATCAGATGTGGATGCTGGGAACCTAACCCAGGTCCTTAGCAAGAGAACTATGTGCTCTTAGCCACTGAGCCATCTCTCCAGCCCCAATTTGAGATCTTTAAAAAATATTTTATTTATAATTTTTATTATTTTATGTGTATGAGTGTATTGCCTGCATGTATGTAAGTGCACTGTGTCATGAAATGCCTGCAGAGGTCAGAGGAGGGTGTCAGATGCCCTGGAACTGGAGTTATGGACAATTGTTAGCTGCCATGTGGGTGCTGGGAATTCCCTACCCCATCCTCTGTAAGAGCAGTCAGTGAGTGCTCTTAATTGCTGAGCCATCTCTCCAGCCCCCAGAGATCTTTTCAGTTAAAGACATTGACAGCTATAAATTTTCCTCCAAACATTGTTTTCACTACACATCATGTGTGTTTTATTTATTCATGTCAAAGTACTTTTTAATTTCATTTGTGAGCTTTCCTTTGATTTATTACTTAGGACATGCTACATAATTTCATATTCTTGAATTCCCTGCAGTTATGTCTGTTACTGATTTCTAATTGAATTCCAGTATGGTCAGAGAACATACTTTACATGATTTGTATAATTACAAATAATTTGCATTTGAAAGTTGTAATATTAATAATTATTGTCTTTAAAATCAGATGGAAGAGTTACAAACTTTTCACTTACCCACAGTTACCGTTACTGGTGCTTTTCATTTCTTCAAGAGAATTTGAATTATTGCTCAGTGTCCTCTACTTTTAGCCCAAAGACTCCCTTTAGTATTTAGTTTAGTCCTTACAGCTAACTCAGACAGCTTTTATCTGGGAATGCCTTGATTTAAACTTCATGTTTCAAAGACAGTTTTTTGGAATGTGGAATTCATTTTTAAAAAATATTTTATTATTTTTATTTTATGTGTGTGTGTGTTGCCTGCATGTGTGTAAGTGCACCTGTGCCATGCACTGCTCATGTAGGTCAGAAGATAGCACTGGCTCTCCTGGAACTGGAGTTATAGACAGTTGTTAGCTGCCCTCTCTCCAGCCCCCTGAATAGAGAATTCATGGTTGAGTTTTTTCTTTTTTTCTTCTCTTGGTACTTTGAACATATCATCCTATGTTCCTGTCCTATCGCCTTCTAGTGCACAGTTTCCGATAAGAAATCAGCTGTTGCTCTCACTGAACCTTCCCTGTACACAATGAATTGGTGCTTCTCTTTTACTGCTTTTCAGGTTTTGGTCTTTCCAGTCTGATCAGGATGCATTTAGCTAGAGATCTTCTTGAGTTTATCTTACTTTGAACTCACTGAGCTTCTTGGATACATAATGATCCCCATCAAACTTGGAAAGTTTTGGCCATTATTTCTTCAAACACTTTCTTCTCTTTTCTTTTGGGATACCCATTATGTATATGTTAGTACAACTGATGGTTTGCTCATTTTTCTTCATTCTTTTTTAATGTTTGTCCCATAAATCAGATAATCTCAATTGACTCTTTTATTTCCAGCTTTCAGAGCCTTAGTGTCAGAGGGTGGAACTTCCTGGGTGTTCCCTAAGCATGTGTACCGTCCTATACACACATGCCCTTCTAGGTTCCTAGAAGTATGCTGGCACTTTTCAAAGTCCTTAATTGTTCAGCATTTTGGTCAGTCTATTATTTCCCCCAATTGTTATCCACTTCCTCAGTCATAATATTAAAATACTAACTGTGCCCTTTTGGGAGAAGAGGGGGTAGTTATGACTTTGCTAGTTACAAAACAAGCCTTTTTAGGAGGTCCTCCAGAGTCAACGACTTCCTAGGGAATGAGGCTCTGAAAGAGCTCCGGGACCCTGTCTGCTCCCTTGGTATAGATACTAGGAATGAGAACTGCCATTTTTCAAGGGTGTCATAGAGCTGGAGGGGGAGAGAGAACTAAAGTAAGTGAAAATGCTACAGGTATCACTGCTCTGACTGAGGTTCATCTGTTTTTCTTGACTAGATGCTAGAGGAGTTGCTACAAGCCCTTAGTTAATTTCCAGGGCTCTGAAAAAGTTGACAACACTTGTCAGCCTTTTTCATTGCTTTTATGGAAGGACAAATATTTTAGGTCTTTAACCCACAATTTTACTGACTTTGCCTTTTGAGCCAGTCAGGATATTAAAACAGGGAAGTCAATGAAACAGCACCATTTGGCATACAAAACTCAGAAAGTTCTTGCAAAACACTGTCAAAACCACAAAAGCAGGGCTGGAGAGACAGCTCAGCAGTTAAGAGCACTGATTGCTCTTGCAGAGGACTCGGGTTTGATTCCCAGCACCCAAATGACAGCTAACAACTGTCAGTAACTCCAGTTCCAGCAGAATCTAACACCCTCTTCTGACCTCTGCAGGGATTACATGACACGGGTGCACTTATATACATGTAGGCAACACACTCACACATAAAAACAATAAAATATTTTCAGGGTTGGAGGGAGAGCTCAGCAGTTAAGAGCACTGGCTGCTCTTGCAGGGGACCCAGGATCAGTTCCCAGCAACCACAATGGTGGCTTACAACCATCTGTAACTCCCAGGGGATTTGATGCCCTGTTCTGACCTCCAAGGGTGCTGCACGACACAGTTTTAAAACCCCAAATTAAATATTTAAATAAAATATTTATACAATTAAAAAAATAAAAAACACGAAAGTCCAAGAAAAAATAATGTCCTTTACTCCATTTCCTAATTTATTTTCATTTGTTACTATCATCTTCCTTACACTTAATTTTTTACCTTTTTCGTCTGGGGATCGATTCTAGTGCTGCTTACTTTATGTATTCTACCACTGAGCTACAGTTTCAGGCCCCTCCCCCTTTTTGTGATGTGTATGTATAGTGCATACGTGTGTGTATGTATGGGCACTCTATCTCCAGAGGTCAACCTTGGGTGTCATTCTTCAGAAGCTGTCCACCTTATTTTTTAAATTTTTATTTTATTCGTGTGTATGTATGTAATGTGTGTGACTGTAGACACACACATGCCATAGCATGCATGTGGAAGTCAAAGGACAACTTTTGGGATTTGGTGATCTCCATCCACCTTTAAGTGGATTCTGGTGATCCAACTTAGGTTGGCAGGATTGTGGAGCAAGGACTTTTATCCTCTAAGCCATCTCGCAGCCCCTGCCTTATTTTTATTTTTTGAGACAGGGTCTCTCACTTGGACCTGGGGCTTGTGGATTAGGCTAGTCCACTCAATCCCTTTACATTTTTGTAGTACCTCCCCACCCCCAAGGATTAAACCCAGATTCTATACACTCACAATCCCCCCTTTTGGTAGTAATTCTATACTTGGAATTTTGTATTCATTTTAAGTTAATTTTATACTGCAAGTACTCACCCCCCAAGTTCTCCATTTCTCAACTTTCCCCTTTCCTAGTGCCTCCTACACTTCCCTACAAGCAGTGTGTCTTTCCATAGCTTCATAGCTTCCCCCAAGCTCATTCAAAAACATCTAACCGGGTGATGGAGAGATGGCTCAGTGGTTAACCCAGAAGACCTAGGTTCGACTCCCAGCACCCACATGGCAGCTAACAACCCCCCCTCCAGTTCCAGGGGATGACACACCCTCCTCTGGCCTCTGCAGGCACTGCTCAATATGGGTGCACTTACATACATGCAGACATAACACTCATACACATAAAAATTAGACAAAATCAAAAAACCCCACATCTAACTGCATACACAAATGTGACTCTTATTAATTAGAATATTTTTATCCAGTGATCTTTTCTCACTTAGCATCTTGGATACCCTAGATCAAAGGCAGAGATTTAGTGTATAATTGTTAAAGCCCTCTAGTCTGCGTTAACAGTCTGCTATTTGTCCCTTCTTGTAGGCACTTGTTTATATGATGTATTTATTATTGCTCTCACTTCTGGAAGGTTCCTGGAGGGAAGATAGTGGTGCCAAAGGTCCTATTTGTGTTACTAGTCCCTGATTACTTGCCCCAGGCCCTTTAAATTCGCGCAGGGTAACCTATGAGTCCCTTTTTGTGAGGAACTTTAAAATAGTTGCACACTATTCCTCAGAAGCAAGGAAAGAGGGATTTGCTTTTCCAGGGCCGTACCTACTCGTTCACGTTTGAAAAAAAAGGGCATCTTCGCCACACGCTGAAGCTAAAGTAACTTTTGGGTCGGTCTCGCAATTCCGAGTGATTGTTTCCATTTGTTTGGGTGGGGGTGAGGAGGGGGCGGTCCGTCGGCCTCGGGGCTGGCTTCCGTGGGCCGCCCGCCGAGCCTCCTGCGCCCCTCCACCGCGGGGGCGGCGGCAGACACGCTCCGCCAACCGGCCGCAGCCGCCTGGGGCTGCTAGAGCGCCGTCTGGAAACTTCGCTCGGCTTCCGGAGCCCGCTGACCAACCCCCGGAGCGGCGGTCCTCACAGAGCGCACCGAAGAAAGCGGCCCCATCCCCGGCAGACGACCCGGCCCTGTGAGGACCCGCTTGTTCCGCGGTCTCAGTGCGCGCGCGCGTGCGCGCGCCGCCGTCGAGCCGCGCGGTGCCCAGCTGTGGGCCCTGAGGCGAGGGCGCGGGTGGTTCAGCTGAGGCCCGGGGGCGTGGCGAGGCCCCGTGGCGCCTGTTTTCCCGGCCGGGTCCGCTTTCGGTTTCGTTTGCCTGCTAGCATCTACACCCTGGAGAGCAGCCGGGCCTGGCGCGTCCCCTCCGCCGCCGCCGCCCGCAGGAGCAGCGGTCCGACGGCCATGGCCCAGGCCGCCGTGGCGGTGGGCGAGGTGACCCAGGTGCTGTGCGCGGCGGGTGGCGTCCTGGAGCTGGCGGAGCTGCGGCGCCGCGTGCGGACCAGCCTGGGCGTCGACGCGCTGGAGCGGCTCTTGCGGGACCGCGGGCGCTTCGTGGTGGTCTCGCGGGCTGGCGCGGGCGGTGGGGCGGCGGCCCCGGAGCGCGTGGTGCTGGCCGTGTCGTCGCTGCGTCTGTGCCGCGCCCACCAGGGTCCCAAGCCGGGCTGCACCGGGCTGTGCGCGCAGCTACATCTCTGCAAGTTCATGATCTATGGAGCCTGCAAGTTCCTGAGGGCCGGGTAAGCGCAGCTCGACGCCCCTGGTGGACAGGGGCCCTGGGCGCGCGGAGGCCTCGGAGCCTCCACTCCCACTCCGCCTGGGACAGTCTTAGAGTTGGGGGGGCGGGGGGCAGTCAGCTGGGTGACGGTTCCATGGCCTCTTCTTTAAGAGTGGTGGCGCAAGCCTTTAATTCCAGCACTGGGGAGGCAGAAGCAGGCGATCTCTGTGAGTTCAAGGCCGGCCTGGCCTACATAGTGAGTTCCAGGACAGCTGGGGCTACAGGGAGACCCTGTCTCAAAAAGACCAAAAAAAAAGAGTGTTAATTGAACACCTACTCAGTGACTGGCAGTGTGGAGGGATTTGGTCAAGTGGATGCTCTTTGAGGGCAGAGTGGTACCAGGTGGCTTTGAGCAGCAGGGTTTTCACACGCAGCTGGAAGGAAGCCTTGAAAGCCCCACTCAGCCATCATGTACCAGCTTAGAAACCCAGACCACAATTTTCTGTCGCCCTCCACGTCCTTAGGGAACTGGGTTTCCCTGTCTCTTAACCACCGTCCTCCTGGGTGTCTTTTTGTATGTCTGCTCCCCCCCCCAGGCCCCCTCCCCCAGCTTTGGTTCACTTGGTGGCCTTGCCCAGTCTGGAATGCCCTTCCTGGTTTGCTCCATTAATGTCTCCGGCTGCAGCTGAAAGATTGTGGCCTTTGGAGCTTCCTCTTAACTCTTTACCCATCACTCTGTTTACCTTCCTTATGGCCTTATTGCCCTCTCCCCACCAAGTGTAAAACTCTGTTAAGAGGCCACAGCTCCTGTAGTCCTGGCTGGCTCTCTACTAGCACCTGCATATCACAGGGGATTTGTGAAATTTGTGGAATGGATTGCTGAATTTTGTGCTAAAGGATTTGGACCTCACTTTGAAGGGCCTGTCAGATGGCAACCATTAGGTCTGCATTGTAGAAGGATGTTTGGGTAGTGGGTGTGGATGCTGATAGAGGATGTTGAGATTACCTGATTTGAAGCTAGTCGAGTTATCTAGGAGAATTAGTCCTTCCCCTCCCTTCCCTCTTTTTATCTTAACCCAGTAGACCTTATTTCTTGTGATGTCAGGTGAATTGTCATCTTGGGTTAGCCTGATCCATGTAGTCATTCAGGGATCCAGGCTGACTAGTGTAGCTCCACCCTGAACATTTTTGAGGCAATTCTAGATATCAAATTACAGGGGTGGAAGAAAAAATGAACAGTAGAGGGTCTGGTGGGAAGTGTTTATGGGCCAGGTCTAGAAGTCATCAACATTCCATCTGTCAGAAGCTGTCTCCTGATCCTACCTAGCTAGAAAGGGGCTGGGAAATGTAATCTCTAGGAATCAGCTATTCAGGAATAATCCAGATTAGAACCTTCCACAGAATGTGTCTGAGAAATTTGGGAAGGTTGAGGAGTGGGGGACAGTGTGAAGAGAAGCTTGGGAGAGGTGATGACTCTCATTTCTGACCCCACTGTGGACTGAAAGCAGGAGAGGACTTTAGTTCTATAATTTAAGAGGAAGACTGAATCCTCAAGTGCTGATTTGGAAGATGCTGGGTGGTAAATGCTATGGCCTCAGTCATAGGAGTGGACCAACTCTGAGGTGCTGGGTCTACAGAGAGGTTGAGGGAAATCTGTGAGGCACCTCTGGGAGGAGCAAGCCAGAGGAAGAGGGTGTACAGCAAGTGGTGGCTAAGTGATGAAATGCTGGGGGCAGTTGATGTGTCTTTGTAATGTGCATATTTGGTAAAATAAACACAAATATTCCATTCTTATGCTAATTCCAAAAATTTGGGATCAAATTTTACTTGTCTGTCCTGGAAATCTGGACTTTTGATATTTTCTGGCCTACTGACTTTGTTTTTTTTTCTTCATTCTTTACTTTTCTCTTCTCCCATGATTTATACTAGGGAGTTCCTTAAACATTCCTTTTTTGATGACTAAGGGAAAGTAAATGTGGTTGGCTGGACATTATATTATCATTATGTTTTCCTTGTGACTCTACTTGTTTTCCTGATCAGAGGGTTAGCTCTGTGAGAAACAGGCCATCAGCTCTGTTGCAGGCCTGAGAAGGAGTCCACCATCCAGACACCTAGTCTTGTGCTCAGGAGGTAGTGTGCCTGATGATCAAGAATGTGATCCCATGAGCTAGCCACCTTGTTTGAACCCAGCTCTGCTCATTGCTGGCTGATAATTCTGGGCAAGTGGCCTTAAGTCTCAGTTCCCTCCTCAGAACCTCAGAGGCTTTGAATGAATTAACTTGTGAAACATTTAGGTAGTTCCTAGAGCATAGTAAATGCTAAATAAATTTTAGTTGTCATCATCAGTCATCATTATTGTAGTTATTAGGTATATTGGCTTTGGCAGCACCAATTTATTCCCCTTCCCCCCAAGCCTACGATGGATGTCCTTTGCGCTGCAGTATTCTTATCACTGCTAACCTTGAACTTTCCACTCTATAGTCAAATTACTTTCTGTGGGGAAGGAAGGAAGTTAATTTTTTTTCTTTTTTTTTTAAATTAAAAAATGTTATTAGCATTGCTTTCTTTAAGAAGTAACGTGAGGGGGCTGGAGAGATGGCTTAGTGGTTAAGAACACTGTTCTTGCAGAAGACCCGGGTTCTTCCTCTCTGCCTCTTTTCTCTCTCCTCTTTCTGGGTTCGTATCCCAGCACCCACATGACAGCTAACAACTGTCCATAACAACAGTTCCAGGGGATCCGACAGCCTCTTCTGTCCTCCTCAGGCATTGCAGGACATGGGTGCACTTACCTACATGCAGGCAATACACGAATACACATAAAGTGAAAATAATAAATAAAATATCTTAAAAAATGAGGTAACATTACATTGAAAGACTTTGCATAGGTGGAGACTTTGGAAAAGGAATGAATGGCAAACTGGCATTATAGGAACAGTGACAAACTTCACATGATTGTTGAATGGGAGAGCTAGTGGGGGACAGGGTTTGGGGGTAGGTCAGGAGTTTGTCATTCTTTTGAGATGTTCATTGCAGACATGGAAGATGAGGTATGGCAGTCCTTGCATCAAGCAAATGCTACCTGCCTGACTCTTCCAGGTGACCCAGACAGTCATTTGAAGGCTTTGAGTTTCTAGAGTGGAGACCCATTGCCTTACTTGTAGCTTGTGCTCACCAGTTGCTTGTGGATTGAAAAATATGCAAAAGGGCTGGACGCAGAGGTGTGTATGTGTGTCTGCATACACCTGCAAGCATGAAGCATCTTGCTCAGTTTTTTAGCCCATGTTTAAATCTTACTGAGTGGCCAGCGTGCTGTGACACTTTTTTGCATGATGGCTTGGTCAGTCTTATCACATGCTGGCTGAGAAGTGTTGTCCTGGGCTCTAGTTGTTGCACAGTCCCATCTCTTCTGGTAAATAAGCATTGTATTTTCATCTCATAGCTGGTTTTTCTCTGCTGCTTGTAGGGAGTGTCAGGAAGTATTCCTGAATAATTATCTTTAGGAATGATTTCACCAGCTTTGTAAGTTTGTCACAGTTGTCATAACGAAGTATCATAAATTGGGTGGTTTTCCCTCCCTCCCTTTCCTTTCTTTTCTTTCTGCCCTTCTTTCATTCTTTCCCTCCTTCCCTCTCTCTCCTTCCCTGGCCCTTTTCTCTCTCCTCTCTCTCCTCTTCTTCTCCCTCTCTTCCCTACCATTCCTTCCCTCCCTTCCTTTTCAGAGTCTTGCTATATTGTCCAGGCTGGTCTGAAACTTGTGATCCTCCAGCATCAGCATCTGGTACTAGGATTACAGGTGTGTGCAACAACACCTGGGTAGATTGGGTAGCTTAAGCAACAAAATTTTATTTTCTGACAATTCTAGAGACCAGAAGTCTGAGATGAGATGTCCACAGAGTTGGTCTTTCCTGAGATTGTTTTCCTTGGCTTTCAGATGGCCCCCTCCCTCAGTTCCCCTATTTTTCCTCCGTGGATTTATGTCCTAATCTCCTTTTCTTATAAGGACATCAGTCATGTTGGATTGGGGCCACTCTAATGACCTCATTTTAATTTAATTATCTCTTAAGAACTATCTCCAAATACAGTTTTGTATTCCGAAGATCTGGGAGTTAGGACTTTAGCATGGGAGTTTTGGGAAACCAAATTTAGCCTGTAACACCGTCTCTGCTTCTTTGCAGAAAGACCTGTAGGAATGGGCACAACTTGAAGACTGATCACAACCTGAGTGTGCTGAGAACCCATGGTGTTGACCACCTCACCTATACTGAGCTATGCCAGCTCTTGTTTCAGAATGATCCCTGGCTTTTACCAGAAGTGAGTATTAGAGGAATGGTGGGGGCAAGGGTCTTTACAAATATAGGGCAGAGGTCAAGTGATTAGAAGATAGGCAGCTCTTATGACTGAAGAGAAATTGAGGACCCCATTTGACCAACAACCCTTCCATAGGAGAGACTTATATTTAATTTCCATCTCTAATTTTTAGAGTTATGGTCCTGGGCCAGACTCACACTTCTTAAAATTTTTCCTTCCCTCTCAGTTGTACTAGCACCTCTCTTGCTATGATTCATAGAGGTTGGGTGAGCCTTTCTGATCAATGCCTGAAACAAGTATTACTTAGTTACAGCTGAGGGGAATGAGGGACCCCAGTGACCAGTGGGAATTGAAATCACATGGTTGGGCATCACTTGACTCAGTTGTCTGTAGAGAAGCCTTCCAGAGTTACTTGACAGCTACCTAGAACTCTTCTCTCTCTCCCAGGTAACCAGGGAGTTTTGAACATTAGCTGACATGAGCTCTCCGATTGTGTGTGCTTACTGTACTTGTTCTACATCAGTTGATGGGTGAAGATTAGCAATGTGAAAGATTTATTAGGGTAAGGACAGGAGAAGGTATAGAGAACCTTTGGACAGCAACAAGGTAGGAATAACAAGGTAGGGGAGAGGGGAACGGAGAAACTGGGTAGGAAGAGACTGGCTGCCACGTGCTTCCAAGAGCAGTTCCACTAGGCTCACAGGTGCTGCTGGAGCTGCAATACCTGCTGGAGGCATGCTGTGATTCACCAGATTAGGCATGCTTAGGATCAGTGCTTCATTCTTTCATGTTGGTAAGGCCTCAGTGTAAACAAGGTAGTGGCTCTACACAGTATCAACTGGGCCTCAGTTTTCTCCAGTGGATATGACAGGGTGTTTCCATGGACAGTGGGATGCTTTGGCATTGTTCCTGGTTTGAGCCAACAAATTAGATTGGTATATTCTAATGCAAATGCTTCCATATTAGATGATTAAAGTCACACATTTGAGAAATAGCATCCTGACTGGCACATAATAAATATTAACTTCTTATATTTGTCTTTTGAAAATACATGTTAATTTAATTCAACTAATCTTCCTAGACTATCCATTCTTGGTTAGGCACCTGCTGGTGATCAGGAGGTAAAAGATGCTGCCCTGTCCTTGCAGGAGGCACATCAGATGTGAGACAGGCAGGTCTGAGGAGGATTTCAGGGTGATATTTAAAACATGAGTCCACACTCTGGGCTGTGGGGAAAGGTGTTTTGGAGTAGATGATGTCTGCCTTGAGTGCTGAAGAAGAGTGAGGATGAGGGAGGTCTCAGTAGGAAGCTGGCACTCTTTCTGATATTTTGGTACCTTCATATTTTCCTGTTTAGTCATTGTAACAACTTTGTGATGCTGGTGGCATTATTCCCATTTTAGGAATTAGAAAATGGAATCCCAAAGCTGATGAGTGACTTGCCCAAGGCCCATCATCTTATAAGGAGCAGAATTGATATCTGGCTCTTTCCCTTGGGGTTACCATCCCTAGAATAGAGGTCTTGGTGATGAAAAACTGGGTTCTGATTCTGAAACCCTCTAGGGATTTCCTAGATTTCCTACAGTGTGTGAGATATAATGCTTAGGAATTGGGTAGGTGGGACCTCTGTGGACTCTGGCTAGTTCCATGTTGAAGTATTTGGAGTGTTAGAGAAGGAACAGTTTATTAGAGTTCAACTTGCGAGGGTGTAGTTGTGCATTGTGGTGTATGTCTGTAATCTCAACATTTGTGAGGTGGGGCCAGGAGGATCAGGAGTTCAAGGTCATCCTTTCCTTAGCTGCACAGGGAGTTTGAGACCAACCAGGGCTACAGGAGACCCTGTATCAATAAACCAGAAAAAAGAGTTGCAGGTTTGCCAGCAACCCAGTTGAGCAAACACCAGATACAGTGAATAGCTGTGTGATTAGGGCTAGCTAAGGGACTTTTAAAAATTATTTATGGGGCTGGAGAGATGGCTCAGCAATTAAGAACACTAGCTATTCTTGCAGAAGACCGGGTTTATATCCCAGCATGCACATGGCAGCTAACAACTGTCTGTAACTCCAGTCCCAGGGGATTTGACAGCCTCTTCTGTGCTCTGTGGGCATTGAACGAAGGCAATACACGCATACTCATAAAAATAATAAATAAGCCAGGCGTGGTGGCGCACACCTTTAATCCCAGCAGAGGCAGGTGGATCTCTGTGAGTTCAAGGCCAGCCTGGTCTACATAGTGAGTTCCAGGACAGCTGGAGCTACAGGGAGACCCTGTCTCAAAAAGACCAAAAAATAAATAAAATATTTTTAGAAATTATTTGTGTGTGTGTGTGTGTGTGTGTGTGTGTGTGCGCGTGGGTGTGTGCGTGCATAAGGGTGACAGCTTATGCCAAATGTGGTCAGAGGACAACCCCATGGAGTTCATTCTTCTACCTTCATGTGCGTTCTAAGGGTTGAACTCAGGTCTTTAGGCCTGTGCAGCAGTGCCTGTACTTGCTGAACCATCTCGTTGGCCCTAGCTGTTGAACTTCTGAGTCTGCTGGCTCCCTTGAGAAATGAAGGGGTGGTATTTGGCCTTCTTTCAAATTCTTTTGCCCTCAAACTGTCTGACTCTGAATTTAGGAAGAAAGACAAGAAACGAATTAGTAAGGGAGATTTGGTTTGGTGAGACTAGTTTGGGATGGAGGTAGGTAGATTGGGGTGGATAGGAGGCTTCTACTGGATCAATATAAAATGCTGCTTTATGAGAAGAGAACAACTCTGCTTTGGTGCCTTTGAAATTCTGTGGATCTTCCTAGGGAAGAGTCTTGTTCTGAGTTTATTTTAACTGAGGGCATATTTTGGTAGCCATTTCTTGAGAGATGAGCTGTCAGTGGCCCAACTGAATGGTGGACTCATACCTAGACCATGAAGCCATCTCCCCCCATGGCATAGTTGGTGAGGAGGTATACTATGGACATTGTTCCTGGGATGATATCTTTTCTCTTCTCTGTCAACAGATTTGTTTACACTACAACAAAGGAGATGGACCCTTCGGCTCTTGCTCCTTTCAAAAGCAATGTATTAAACTCCATATCTGCCAGTACTACTTACAGGGAGAGTGCAAGTTTGGCACTAGTTGTAAGAGATCCCATGAGTTCTCTCACTCCGAGAATCTGGAGAAATTGGAGAGGCTGGGCATAAGTTCTGACCTGGTGAGCAAGCTGTTCTGCACTTACCAGAACGCGTATGACATCAAGAATAAATGTTCAACCCTCAGCAAAGTGCCTCCTCCTTCAGGTCCACAGAAGACTTCTGGTAAGGCTGGTGGAAAGTGCTGCATGCTCTGAGCTGGGAGCCTGAATTTTGGTTGGCTAGTAAATAGAGTATGACTTTGGGCAAGTCTTTCTTTTAGCAAAGCCTAGTTGATACTTTGCTAGCTAGAAGATCCAAAGTCAGTTGAAATCCTAGATGTGGTCAAGCAAAACATTCCAGACAGTGTGAGTTGGTATTGGTGCAGTTTTAATTCTAGAGGAGCCTGGTCAGTACTGAAATGGGGGTTAGCTTTCCCCTGTGCAGTTGCTTTCCACCCTCTGCAGAATTAACCTTTCAGTGAGGAACCCCAGAGTCAGGATGCCATCTTATGTAGCTCTGGGGGCATCCATTAGGTGGCTTTCTTTTATGAGATTACAAAACGAATGAAAGGCATTTGCTAGGCGTGGTGGTGCACACCTTTAGTTCTAGCACTTGGGAGGCAGAGGCAGGTGAATCTCTGTGAGTTCAAAGCCAGCCTGGTCTACATAATGAGCTCCAGGCCAGCTGGGGCTACAGGGAGACCCTGTCTCAAAAAGACAAAAAAAAATTTTTTTTTTAAAACAAAAATGAATGCAAGGTATTTTAAAAATTGTGGCCTTGGCTGTCTTACTACCATGAGGAAACAGAATTTTCCCTATTAGTTTTTCTGCTTTGTCTTCTTCTTTCTAGCACTTAGACAGTGACAGGTCCACAGCAATCTCTCATTTGTTGAAAAGTGAGTGTGGTAGGATTTTTTTTTTTTAAGGAACTGTCAGGCTTATTGACAGGTATGGGGAAATTTTCAATGGAGAGTTTTTTTAGGCTGGGTGTGGTGGAGCACACCTTTAATCCCAGCCCTGGAGGGTGAGGGGAAGGTAGCCAGAGGCAGACAGATTTCTGTGAGATTAAGGTCAGCCTGGGATGGTCTAAATAGTGAGTTTCAGGCTAGCTGGAGCTACATAGTGAGACCCTGTCTCAAAAAACCCAAGCACCAAACAAAATATATTTTTAATTATTCTTTGATAGTTTCATGCATGTATATAATGTATCTTAATCATATCCAATCAAAATCCCCCTTCCAACACTCTCTAGTCCCCCTCAGTACTTTTCCCTCCCACTTTCATATCATCTTTTAAAAATTATTTACATTTATTTACTTATTTTGTGTGTGTGTGTGTGTATATACACAAACATATGCTGCGGTATGCATGTGAAGGTCTTAGTTCTTTCCTTCTACCATGTAGGTTTCAGGGATTGAACTCAGGCTTGATAGCAAGTGTCTTTACCCACTGAACCCATTTTGCTTGTCCTTCTCCTCCTCTTCCTCTAATTCCTTCTCTTCTTCCTCCTTTTCTTCCTCCTCTTCTTCTTCTTCCTCTTTTATTTTATTAATTAATTAATTTTTGGTCTTTTTGAGGCAGGGTCTCCCTGTAACCCCAGCTCTCCTGGAACTCACTGTGTAGACCAGGCTGGCCTTGAACTCACAGAGATCTACCTGCCTCTGCCTCCTGAGTGCTGGGATTAAAGGCGTGCGCCACCATGCCTGGCTTATCCTCTTCCTTTTTTAAAATAACCCACTGAGTCCAGTCAGTGCTGCTTGCCTGCCCATAGGTATGGGGCCACCCATCTTAGCATGGACAACCTATCAGTGACCACATCATCATAGAAAGATGACTCTCCCTCCTCCAGTAGCCATCAATTGTCGATAGCTCCTCAGCTAGGAGTAGAGCCTCATGAGCCCCTCTCCCATCCATCAATGTTGTCTGCCTTGATCTTAACCAGGTATCCGTAGCTGTTGTGAGTCCATGAGTGCAATGGCCATGTCATGTATAGAAGACAGCATTTCATAGCCCCTCTAACCATCCTCCAACTCTTACATTCTTTCCAACCCACGTCTTCTGTTGTATTCCCTGACGTTTGAGGGGAGTTGATATAAATGTCCCATTTAGGGCTGAGCACTCAATAGTCATTTATTCTCAACACTTTGGTGAGTTGTAAGTCTCGCATTGATTGCTACTCACCACAAAACAATGTCTTTGATCAAGGTTTGAGAGCAGCATGAACCTGTGAGTATAAACATGCATGTTTAGAAGGCAGTTTGACATTACCATTTAACAAAACAGTAGAAGGTTCCCCTTTAGGACCTATGACCTCTCCAAGCCTATGACATAGGTTTTTAACAGGTTTACAGTGCCAGACATGAATTCTTTCCTCTAGAGTAGGCCTCAAATTCAATCAGAAAGCAGTTGATTAATCTTCTAATAATTGTGCACTAGTAGGCACATCTTGCCTGGCAGGCTAGTATTGTGGCTTGCAAGATCCTCTGCTGTAAGTCCATTGATGACTTTTCTTCCCCTACAGCCTTCATTACACTTTCCAGCACTGTGCAAGATAGCTAGCAGGAAAGAAGTTTGTACATAGGTTTCAGTTTGATTTCTTTATGTCTTGTAACCAAAGTATGTTGTCTTCAGCAATAGGTTTTGTTTGTTATGTTGAGACACGGTCTCTCTGTAGTTCCAGCTGGCTTGGAACCTGCTTTGTAGACCAGGATGGCTTCAATCTCACAGGGGTGTGCCTGCCTCTTCCTGCCATGTGCTGGGATTAAAGGCCTATGCTACCATGCCTGGCTAGCAGTAGGGCTTTATCATCTAGTTATGGTGAGAAATTGAGAGCAGCGGCAACAACCTGCGTTGCTTTGGGGTTTCTGGGGGCCTCCCTGACCAATAACCTGTAGCACGGTATCTCACACATGACACTGAGATTTGTATTTAATAGTCCAGGTGTTCTTTAGAAAGCAGTGTCTATCCAGAGTACCTCTGTTTTTTTTTTTTTTAAAACTTACTTTTAAATTAGCTTATAAAGCAGTATGTTTTCATAAGATTTTTTCATATAGACTTAGGTTTAGTTAACCCACTCCTACACTTTCCTCCCCACCATCCCTCAGGCCCCATCCCTACTTAAACCTGTAACCTGTATCTCCCATCTACTTGCATATCACATGCAGGCTACTCTCCCCTCCCCCACCTTACTGCTGCTTCTCAGCTTTCCTGATGTGCCCCTTCTAACTTCTTGACCTCCACAAACACTCCAGATTAAACACAGAAATCTAAAAATTCAAAGCTAGGATCCACATACAATCTTTTTTTTTTTTGACATGAAATCCTGTCTGTTGCCCATGTTGGCCTCAAATTCCTTGGCAAAGTGGTCTTCCTGCCTCAGCCTCCCTAGTAGCTCAGACGACAAGTGTATGCCTTTCTGTTTGACATTTCTCGACTATCTGCTGTATGTGGATGAATAATGTGGCCCCTAAGAGAGCTTATGATAAATTGGTTCCTTTGGTTGGCCATTCTGGGCCCCTATTCTTTCACTTCAGCAACATTGAGTGTTTGCCATGTGCTGGTCTCTGTCCTGGTCCTCACTTAGACTTTAGAACGGGCCTCCCCCTCAGAATAAATCATCACTTCCACTTGTTAAGCTATAGAGATAGCAACCATTTTTAATAGACCTTCCTAAAGCATCAGATGAGTGATAGGACTGCTGGCAAACACACTGACCACTCTGATCTTACCTGATTGTCATAGTTAGAAATTATTCCTGCTGCATCTAGTTTTTCTTTATATTTTCTTCTGTGTGTGTGTGTGTGTGTGTGTGTGTGTGTGTGTGTGTGTGTGTGTGTGTGTTCGTGTGTGTACAGGAGCACATGTGTACTGGTATGAGTGGAGGTCAGATGACAACCTCAGGTGCCATTCCACCATTTTTTGAGGCCGAGTCTCTCATTGGCCTGGGACTCACCAAGTAGGCTAGGCCGACTGGCATCCCAAGGGATCTGCCTGTTTCCATCTCCCCAGCTCAGGGACTGCAAGCATGCCCACCGTGCCCAACTTTTTAATGTGATTTCTGGGACCTGAACTTTGGTCCTTGTGCTTGGTATCACCCAGCCTCTTCAGTTATTTTTTAATCTCCTTCAGTTGTAGGAAGCCTGGCTATAAAAAGGGTTTACTTTAAATAGATGTTTAGTTTCATTTGCATTTTGACCTTATTAGAAATGGAGAGGAGGATCCTTTGCTGAGTAGGGTCAGATCTTAAGAACAGTCACTGTTCTGGAAGAGAGAAGGACAACTACAGAGTCCCTCTGAGTTTTGAGTTCCAGCTTGTGGAATATCTGGGAATTTGTAAAAGAAAAAGGGAAGATGCATAACAAAATGACAGGTGATAATAAATGAGAGGTCATAAATGAGTTTACATTATTTTGGGGTAAATGTGTAATAGGCAAGGGTTCATTGGGATGGTAGTGGGAAAGGTACACTTCAAAAACATTTACATCTTATGTTAAGAACCTTACAAGTAAACCAAAATTAATTATGGATATTTCATTTGGAGATGAAAACTTTCCATGAATTACCTTTTTCTTGATATTCGTACCCAATTCTAGAGACTTTATTAACAAGTAGTTGTTAGGCAAAACTAAATATAATTTTAAAATACAGCCAGGCGTGGTGGCGCACGCCTTTAATCCCAGCACTTGGGAGGTAGAGGCAGGTGGATCTTTGTGAGTTCGAGGCCAACCTGGTCTACATAGTGAGTTCTAGGACAGCTGGGGCTACAAGGAGAACCTGTCTCAAAAAAGACAAAAAAAAACAAAACACAAAAAAACTCTTCCATTTACCCTTTCCTAGTAACTTGGGTGAAAAACCAGAATTGAGAAAAGAACTCCTCCATGGTGTCCTGGGTTTTGTAAGCAGCTGTGTGGCCAAGTGTTCCAGGATTCATCCTCAAAGTCAGGTGCCCAACCTGTGCATCTGGGGACACTTTTATCCCTGGCAGGGTATGTTCTGTCACTATCCTGGGCCACTTTTGTCTTGCTCAGAGAGGGAAATGAATTCTTTCTCCGTTTGTACCTTGAAGCACTATGATCCTACATCAGAAGCCTTGCTGGAAGCTGACATATTTTGTGGTGTTTCTTTGTAGAAAGAAGAGGCAGTTTAGGGTCTCTGTCGTCAAGTACTCCTAGCCAGGAGGAGAGCGATCAGATCTGCTTGTACCACATCCGCAAAAGTTGTAGCTTTCAAGGTAAGTTAGAGAGCGCTTTCCTTTCTGGAGGGGAAACTGTTTCTTCTTCTTAGAGCTGTGCTCTGAGAACTCCTAGAGAGAAGGGGTCTTGCCATTTTGGTCAAGCCAGTTCTGAATCTGCTTTGCTTAGAAGTTGAAGATGGAACGAATTCTTTGGGTTTCTAAAAACAAGATGTTAGTGTAATTTGATTTTTCTGTTGCTGTGATAAACACTGATCAAAACCATCTTTTGGGGGGAAAGGGTTTATTGGCTTACACATCCTGATCACAGCTTGGAAGAAAATGGGGTAGGAACTGGGTAGCATGGACTACGGAGCAACGCCGCTCACTGGTTTGTTTCTCTGGTCTCTGTTCAAAATGCTTTCTTACACAACTCAGGATTACCTGCCCAGGGATGGCACTGCACATGCCCACAGTGGGCTGGGCCCTCTCACATCACTCAGCAATCAAGGAAATTCCTCATAGAGATGCCCACAGGCCATTCTGATAGAGGAAATTCTCCAGTTGAGGTTCTCTTCCTAAATGGGTCAATTTGACAACCAAAGCTATCCAGCATAATTGGCCCCTTGTCAACTTAACACACAAAACGCATCACTGTTTAACCATTCCCATTTCTTGTCTCACGTTAACATTCATATCACAATATAAAACACAGTATAAGATTAAAAGTCCCACAGTCTTTTACAATTCCAGTACTTTGAAAGCTCAATGTTCCTTTAAAAATAATCCAGTCAGTCAGGTGTGGTGATGCATGCCTTTAATCCCAGCACTCAGGAGGCAGAGGCAGGTGGATCTCTGAATTTGAGGCCAGCTTAGTCTACATAGTGAGTTCTAAGCTAGCTGAAGCTACAGGAAGACCGTCTCAAAAAAAAAAAAAAAATCCAGTCTCTCAACTGTAGGCTCCATAAAATAAAAAATCAGTTATATACTTTGTTATTTCAAAAGGGGAGAACTGGACATAATTAAGTAAAACCAAAGTCCAGCAATGTAGCTTACTGTCAGACATCTGGGATTCACTCATGATCTTCTGTGCTCCAAAGGGCTTGAGCAGTCCCACTTCTCTGGCTCTGTAGTTGAGTTTTGGGGAACATGGCCATGTGGATCTGTAGCAAGTGAGTGCCAAGTGACCCTTGGTCACAGAACTTCATGAAACAGGGAGACTAGGTCTAGTGGGATCCAAGATAGGTGCCACTTCTGAAGGGTGACAGTAAGCCTAGGGGAGTGTGAGAACTGGGAAAGACCTCAGTGAGGAGGGGACATTTGTATTAGCACTTGGAGAGTTGGTTGAGGTTTCCTCTGTATTGAGCCAGTGGCCCTGTTGTACTCCTTTTATCACAGATGGTAATTCTTGTGTTTGTGTGTTTTGATATTTTCACTAAACCTTTGTATTGTTCATCACTGATAACTTAGCCTTTGTCTAAGGATTCTTTCTCAAAATCTGTGACTGCCATTAAATAGCAACTACCAAAACTTCTTGTTGTTTTGCTTTGTCTTTAGAAGTCATGCAAGCAATTCATGACTACTTTCACTCTGTGAAAGAGTAAAGCAGGAAGGCCTCCTCTGCCTTCTTCATCCTTCCCCAATGATAAACACTTGCAATATGGTTGAACTGTTTATTTTACGTGTTTTATTTTATTTTAAAGATTTGTTAATTTTAATTATGTGTTCGTGTGTATGTGTGTGTCTGTCTGTGTCTGTGTGTTGGTATGTGTACCTGAGTGTAAGTACCTGTGGAGGCCAGACACATTGGATACCCTGGAGCTGGAGTTATGGGCACTTGTGAATTGCCCAATATGGGTGCTGGGAACTGAATTTGGGTCTTCTGCAAGAGCAGATGCGCTGTTAACTGCTGAGCCGTTTCTCCAGCCCGTTTTGCACATTTTTAAATATATTGGAAGCATGTGATAATATAGTTTTCAAACTGCATCTTTTAGTTTTGTGTTTTGGAGGGTTTTTTTCCCCATGTCAGCATGTATAAATTACATAGTTTATTTATTTAATTAATTAATTAATTAATTTTTTTAATGTGTTCTTTTATTTATTTTTTTGTCTTTTTGAGACAGGGTCTCCTTGTAGCCCCAGCTGTCCTGGAACTCACTATGTAGACCAGGCTGGCCTTGAACTCACAAAGATCCGCCTACTTCTGCCTCCCAAGTGCTGGGATTAAAGGTGTGTGCCTCCATGTCTGGCTTTTTTTAATTTTTAAAAAATATTTTTACTTTATGTGTATGAATGTATTGCCTCCATGTATGTGAGTGCACCCGTGTCAGATTCCCCTGGAACTGGAGTTAAGGATGGTTTGTAGCCACCATGTGGGTGCTGGGAATTGAACCTTGGTCCTCTGCAAGAGCAGTCAGTGCTCTTAACTGCTGAGCCATCTCTCCAGCCCCTAAATTATTTAGCTTTTAAAAAAACATTAACTTATAGTGATGTTCCATTGAATATGAAGTACATAATTATGAATCTTTCCATAGATTGATTCTTGGAACTGGAATGATAGGCCAAAAAATTTGTGTCACGCATGCGCACGCACACACACACACACACACACACACACACAATGTGGGCCTATACACGCACTGTACAGAATGTGTGTTCTAGTTTGCCTTCAATTACTATGACAAAACACTCTGGCCAATACCAACTTGGAAAGGAAAGGGTTTATTTGGTTTACATCATCACTGAGGGAGCCCAAGGTAGGAATGCAGGACAGGAACCTGGAGGCAGGAGCCGAAGTATAGGCCACGGAGGAATGCTTGCTCAGTAAGACTTGCTCCCCTGGCCTGTGCTCAACCTACTTTCGTAAATAGTACAGAACCGCTTTCCTGGGGTGGCACCACCCACAGTGGGATGGGCCCTCCAACATCACTCAACAATCAAGTAAATGCACCACAGATATGGCTACAAGCCAATCCAATGGAGGCAATTCTCCAATTGAGGCTCCCTTTACCCAGGAATGTCAAGCTGACAAAGTTATCAAGCACAATGTGTGTGTCTCTCTCTCTCTCTCTCTCTCTCTCTCTCTCTCTCTCTCTATATATATATATATATATATATATATATGTTTGGTTTTTTTGGGATGTAGTTGGTTTTGGTTTTTTTGAGACAGAGTCTTACTATTTAGCCTTGGCTAACCTGGAACTTACTATGTAGACCAGACTGACCTTGAACTTGCAGAGATCTGCCTACTTTTGCCTCCTGAGTGCTGGGATTAAATTAAAGGTGTGCCACAAAATCCATTGGGGTATATTTTATACAAGATAAAAATGCACCCATTTAAAATAGTTCTGCTAGGTATGGTCCTAGCACTCAGGAAACAGAGACAGGCAGATCTCGGTGAGTTTAAGGCTAGCCAGATTTACATAGTGAGTTCTAGGCCAGCTGGGGTCACACAGACAAAAGCTACCATGTCTCAAAAACAACCGTGTGTGTGTGTTCTGATGAGTATATGTTTATTTGCCCAGGTAACCAGTATAATGAAGGTATAGAATAATTTCCCAATCCCCAAATGTCCTTTTAACAGTTCCTTACCATCTCTCAATTTGTCAACTCTAGAAATTCTTGATCTACTTTTTAAATCACTGTAGGTTAGATTAGTCTTTTTTAGAATTTCATGTACATGAAATCCTGCAGTATGCATTCTCTTGTGCCTGGTGTCTCTCATTCAGCATGGTTTTGAGATTCTTCATGCTGGCTTATTAATAGCATGTTTCTTTTTTATTACTAAGTAGTATTCAATTGCATGGATTGACTACAGTTTATTTATTCATATACTGAAGAATATTTGGATTGTTTCCATTTTTGACTTTATAAAATAAAATTTCTGTAGTATTCATTTACAAATGCTCATGTAGGTACATGTTTTCATTTGTCTTGGGAAAAGACACAGAAGTAGAATTACTTGGTTGTGTAATATATGCTTAATATTATAAGAAACTGTTAAACTGATTTCCAAACTGAACATATTTTACTTTCATACTAGCAGTTTGAGAGTTCTTACTGTTCCATATCTTTGCTGACACTGGACATTGATAGTCTTTTTAAATTCTGGCCACTCTGATGAGGAGTGGCATCTCATTGAGGTTTTTAATTTGTTTAATGCTATTTAACATTAACTTTAATGTGCCAATTAGACATTTGTGTATCTTCAGTCAAATGTCTGTTCAAATATTTTGCTTTTATATGACAGCTTTATTAAAATATTGACTGTCAACATCATTCAGTTCACCCGTTCATTAATTTTGAGTACAGTCACAGAATTTTTTACTTGTCATAGTCAAGGTTGAAGCATTTTCATCAGCCCTGAAGATGCCTTGCCACTTGTCATTTGTCCTTCCTCAGCAACTCCTGCCAACAGTAGACTTATATTTGTCTCTATGGGATAGCCTGGAGATTTCCTATAAATGGAATCATGTAATACTGTTTTTTTGTGTGACTATTTTGTCCATTTTGATTGAGTTATTTGATGCCTTTTTATTGAGTTGGAAAAAGTGTTTTGTTTTAAAAATTTTTTAAGGTAGGTCTCATGTCATCCAGGATGGCCTCATACTTGCTGTGAGGTCAAGGATAACCTTGAATTTCTAGTTTCCCACTGCCTTAATGCTAGGATTAAAGGAGTCTGCCACCAGACTTATGTTTTATGCAGTGCTGGAGATCGGTCTTAGGACTTTTTGTGTGGTAGGTAAGCACTCTGCCAACTGAGTACCACTTCCAGCCCAAAAGTTTTGTATGTTATGTGTGCTATGTGTGTTTACCCCAAGTCTGTCTTTCATTTTTATTTTCTTTATTGTGTCATATATATTTTGGTCTTTTTGAGACAGGGCCTCTCTGTAGCCTCAGCTGACCTGGAACTCACTATGTTAACCAGGCTGGCCTTGAACTCACAGAGCTCCTCCTGCCTCTGCCTCCTGAGTGCTGGGATTAAAGGCATGTACCACCACACCTAGCCAAGAATAGATATTTAAAATTTTTTTATTTATTTAAAAAAAATTTATTTATTTATCTTTATTTTATGTGTATGCATGTATTGCCTGCATGTAGGTAAGTGCACCCATGTCATGCAATGCCCACGGAGGACAGAAGAGGCTGTGGGATCCCTTGGGACTGGAGTTACAGACAGTTAGCTGCTATGTGGGTGCTGGGATTTGAACCCAGGTCTCCTGTAAGAACAACCAATGTTCTTAACTGCTGAGTCATCTCTCCAGCCCCCTATTTCTTTATTTTTTTTTATGTGTGTGAGCGTATTGTCCACATATATGCAAGTGCACCCATGTTGTGCAAAGCCTGCAGAGGCCAAAAGAAAGAGTGTCAGATCCCCTGGAACTGGAGTTACAGATGATTGTCAGCCACCATGTGTGTGCTGGGACTTGAACCCTGGTTCTCTGGAAGAGCAGCCAGTGCTCATAACTGCTGACAGCCCTAGGAATAGATATTTCAATATTAGTGTTCATTTAATATTTGTCCAGATATTGGTCACTTTAATTTTCTTTGGTTTAATAGCCTAAAAATAATTGCCTGTTCTGAGATATACTATGCTCCCCCCGCCACCAGAAATAGTATGTGTAGCTTTTATGTTTAGATCTAGGTGTTTTTTGTTTTTGTTTTTTTTCTTTTTTGCTATTTGTGTATGTGGTGCTGGGTGTTGAACCCTGGGTCTTGACTGTGCTAGACAGATGTTCTCCCCCAGCCCGAAGTCTAGCTTAATGGTTCTCTGTGGACTCCGCTCATTATTTCCTTGATCATGGCTTCTGTGTAAACTTGTTGCTTCTCATCATTACTTTCACTTATGTGTTGGCTAATTCTCAGCCATCTGTCATATACTTAAGAGTCCCCGTGTGTCTGTTGGTTATTCCAGGGGGCTGATTCTGAGTCAAGGCCCCTGTCACAGGATGACAGACAGGACTGTGTGTCTTGCTTGAATTTCAGGAATGTGGTGGGGCAGGCTGCCGGTATGTAGCCAGAGTCCAGGGTCAGGGTAGGGGCAATGGCTCTCTCTCAATATGTAGCCCTTATCTCCACACTTGTGTTCACCTGGGAAGCAAACAGCAAGGCTGCATGACCCCATCAGGTCTGAGTCGGGGGTCCCACTCCAGTGGGTCCCCTTGTTCTCACTGTGATGGCTGTCAGGCATCTGCCTATGAAATCCCTAGGTTCTTCCTCCAGATGTGTCTTCTGCATATTCTTCCTGCTTTGTAGTTTGCATGTTTTTATCCATAGTGCTTTTTGTTGCTCTCTAGTATTTTTTAGATTTGCTCTTCTTTCCAGCCAGTCATTTCAAGGGATGTAGGGAGGAAGGAGAGGTGGCTGTGAGTATTTTGCCTTCCAAATTGATTCAATTTATGTAACTCACCTCCTGGAAAGCCTAGACTGTAGAGTGCTCTAGTGAGGTAAGCGAACATTAGATGAAGGGGAAAGAAGCCAAGAATGAGGGCAGGAGATCAGGGAAGATGACTGAGGAAGGGGCTTCCTGCCTGGATCCACCACTGTGCCAATATTCTCACCAGTTGCTGTGCTTGCCTTTCCCAGGAGCCTCCACCATGAGCAGCCTGGACTCTACACTCAGCTCCAAGCTTGACCATGGCCCTGGATCCCTGGGTCCTTTCTGAGGCCTCAGTCTCGTGGGTTATGGGGGAGATAACTTCTTTCCCAGGAGATAATTTCTTCCAGGGAGACTTTCTCCTGAGGCCTCCTAGGATTTGCCTGTACCTGGTGACTATAGACATAACTTTTCAATGCTGGAATGCTCTCTTGTGTAGTGCCTTCAGGAAGAACAGGAACTCTTCTTGGTCATGGTCTCTGGACCATAACTGCAGCTTGACCTAGCCTTTCCTTATCTGTTATGCATGCTCCTTGATTAGAGTCCAAGAGATCTCTTGGCCTGGGGTGAACTGCCTGTGCTCAGACTCTACAAATAGCAGGGTTCTAAGTCCCCAAGATATCTGTGTCTTTCTTCCCTTGTTGAACTTAAGAGCTTTCTTTGCCTGAATACTTCCAGCTTGCTTTCTGAGGCCTGTGCTCTTTTTTTGCCCTGTCTGTCCAGTTCCTGGCCTGGTTTTTGACAAGCCCTAGCAATTTCCCATGCTCCTCCTTAGTATTCTGCCACCACAGTACTCTTTTGTGGACTCTGGGAAAGAACTGACATTGAGAAAGAATGCATGGATTTTAGGACATACTTAATTTTCACATGTTAAATTAGCCTAAATTCATTATTTTGAAATTTGAATTAAAATGCATAAGAATATTTAATAAGAATTGAGTTTTCCTTGCACTCTTTGCCTTAGTATCCAGATCCTCTAGGCAAAAAAAAGTGAGTACCTGGTCTTCAGGTATTTTTCTAGAAAGATGTTACACACCAGTGTATATGTCTCTGTTTATACTTGTATATATAAAACATATATATTTATTTGGTTTTGTTCATATATATAGTTGCACTAGCACACTTTTCCTTGTTTTACTTAACTAGATGTTTACTTTTGGAGAATATATATTTTTGTGGTTCAATTCAAGCAGGCAGAAGTGACAGAAGTCTTTCTCATACTTCTACAAGGAATAGTATCTGCATAAGTATATGTCTTTGATTATATCACTGCTAATCTGCCCTCCATCTCTTATTTGCTATATAGAAACATTCTGCACCCGGTTGAGTATCTTTGTACCTGATAGCTTGTATCTTAACTATAGCTCCATGTCAGAGTACAGTGAGCATCCAAGTCCTTTTGTCTCTGTTCTCCATCCTCCCTACCATCCTCTGTACAGATCCACTAGAAACCCATGGGGCTATTGAAAGGAAATGTCAGGGCCAGCATAAGTAAAGATGAGGCAGGGAGCAAGGGCTTGGAGTAGGAGGTAGTGAGCCCTGTGGCCCCCTAAAAGAAGACAGAGAAGGTGGAGGGGAGGACATGGATGTTGATGGGCAGAACAGTGTGTATGAAGACTTGCCAGGGGTGGGAGGGTGGTTGAAGAAGAGGTGAGTCCCTTAGAAGCCAGAATATATCTCAACAGCTGGAACTATGTTGCCAAGCCACTTCCAGCGTGATGTATTGAGATTGGATGGTTTTAAAACTTTCCTCCCTCTCTCTCTCCTTCCCTCTCACTAGGGATTGAACCTAGGGCCTACAAAAATGGTCTGTCACTGAGGTATATCTCTAGCCCTCCCTTTTTACCTTTTTAAAAAATCTTTTGGTTTCTTTTTCTTCCTTTTTTTGGTCTTTTTGAGACAGGGTCTCCCTGTAGCCCCAGCTGTCCTGGAACTCACTATGTAGGTCAAGCTAGCCTTGAACTCACAGAAATCCGCCTGCCTCTGCCTCCTTGAGTGCTGGGATTAAAGGTGTGCGCCGCCATGCCTGGCTCTTTTTCTTCTTTTTTAGATAGCGTTTTACAAGATGTCCAGGCTGGCCTTCCACTCACTCTGTAGACTATGTAGGTCTTGAACTTATGATCTTCCTGCCTTAGCTTCCCAAGTAGTAGGGAGCACAGGCCTGAGTCACCAGACTTGGCTCTGATATGGATTCTTGTTAGAGTTAATTCTGGTTCTATTTCTAATATGACCTCTGCCTATCTACGTGCCATGCCGTGTATATAGGGACACTGAGCGGTTTGACTGCTCTCTGCAGGGCTGGAACCAATGACCTTGTGATTAGCTTCTTTACTGTCATGAAATGAAATTCTAGATCAACACATTAAAAAAAAATCAAATCAGTATGAGGTTCTGTTAAAAAGGAAGACACATATTGTAAGACACACAGTATTTCATTATGTAAATGCTTAGGTATGACTGCACTAACAAAACATAACTTCCTTATAACTTTCCAGAAAGTTCTCAGGTCAATGATCAGGCCCACTCCCATTGACAATTGTAGGATGAAGCCACTCTGTTTAGGCCAGGCTATCTTACTACTTTATGTTTCTATTTTAGATAAGTGCTATAGAGTTCATTTTCATTTACCATATCGATGGCAGTTCTTGGATGGAGGCAAATGGAAGGATTTGGATAAGATGGAACTTATTGAAGAAGCATATAGCAATCCCAGTAAAGGCAGGTAGGAAAATGTGTCCCTTGTCTCTGCTTTGTGCCTGGCCTTTTGTGTGCAATATAAGGGATTTAAGCTTAAACAACACACACACACACACACACAGTCACAGCAGCAGCTTGATCTGGAGGTGGAAGCCCATGTTTATGGCAGCTTGGTGTCTCCGTGCTCTCACCTTCTCCTCTCAGGAGGAGCTGTGGGAAAGATCATACCAAGACCAACTAACCTCATTAGTTGCTGCTAGGATTGATCACATACATAGTTATTCATTATTATAGATAATCAAGAAGTGATCATTTGTGAACTTTTAGCTGTTTCTGCAAAGTCATAATAGCTGCACTGTTTGTTGTTTATCTTTAAAAATTTTTCCTTTTCTAAGTGTACCCTAGCATTTCTATTCAGTCAGTTCACAGTAAACAAGGAAATCCTAGGTGGTCTTATTTTAAATCCTTACCATAAACTGGGTTAAAATGTGCTGAGATGTTGCTAAAAGATGAACTTTTAAAATTTATTTTAATTCTTTTATTTATTATCTGTATGAGTGTTTTGTCTGCATGCCTGTAAGTGTATCACGTGCATACAGTGCCTGTGGAAGCCAGAAGAAGGCATCAGATCCCCTGGAAGTGGAATTGTTGATGGGTGTTAGCCCCCGTATGGTTGCTGGAAATTGAACTCAGGTCCGCTACAAGAGCAATCAGTCCTCTTAACCTCTCAGCCATCTTTCTAGCCCCTATTTTTTAATATTTTAAGAGTTTGGGATTGATTTTATTTTTAGGTGTGTATGTATGTTGTCTGTCTTGTCTGTGTCTGTATGTGAGTGCACATGCCTGTGGAGGCCAGAAGATGGTGTCAGATCCCCTTGAGCTGAAGTTACAGATGGTTTGTGAGCCACCCAACATGGGTACTGGGAACTGAACTTTGATCCTTTACAAAAATGGCAAATACTTTTAACTCTAAATCATTTCTCTGGCTCCCTAAATAATAATTTGAGACGACTGTTTGAGCTCCAAAGTAATTTTAAACTTAGAGTGCATATTTACAAAGTGCTATTGGCTAAGTTTGTGAAACAAATTATTCCCTTAAAAATATTAAATGGATCACATACCACCCATAATCTTTCTGAGGTATATTTTAGACAGTGGCAAACACAAATATTAACTATACAGCTCAGTGACTTTTGACATGCATTCACTTGTGGTGGAGCTAACAGTCTGATTGAGATACAGAATGTCTCATTAACCCAGAGGTTTCCTCATTTAGCCCCACTCCCATAGACTGTCATTGTCTAACTTCTAGACCTGCACATCGAACCATTTGGTATGTACTGGTATGCCCTGAGTCTAGCTCAGTACTGTGTTGTTGTTTTTTTTTTCCTTTTGTTTTGATTTTCCTTTTAAATTTTTTTTGTTTTTGTTTTTTGAGACAGGGTCTCACTGTGTAGTCCAGGCCAGTCACAAACTCTTCATCCTCCTGCTGGCAGCTCCTAAGGACTGGAAAAACTTCTCTCCCTGTGTCCATTGTCTTTTTTTGCTTCCTTTTTCTGTACAGTGTCTATCCTTAACCCATTTTAGGTGTAAGGACAGCTGTGTTTTTAACCATTTATTTTGAGAAATTTTCTATATTTCCAGCTATTAAGAATGAGTTAAAAAATAAGCTCTTCTAGTCAGCTTATGTGTCTTTTAATGAAGAGAAATATTTATCCATCTTTTTCCTTTATGGTTTTTTGTCTTTTGTCTTTTTGAGACAGGGTCTCTCTGTAGCTCCAACAGGCCTGGAACTCACTGTGTAGATGAGGCTGGCCTTGGTCTCACAGATCTTCCTGCTTCTTTGCCTCCCAAGTGCTGGGATTAAAGGTATGTATCACTATACCTAGATCTTTTATGGTTTTATTCTTTTTTGTGCTTAAGAAATCTTCCTTTGTCCCAAGAACATAAAGAAATTCTCTTGAGTTTTTTTCTAAATGTTTTAACATTTTAAATACAAACCTATGTGTGTATATTATATACAAATGTGTATATGTATATTTGTTGGTTGGTTGATTGGTTTGTTTTTAGACATGGGGTCTTTCTATAGCCTCAGTGGGCCTAGAGCTCGCTATATAGACCAAGTTCGCCTTGATCTCACAGAGATCCCCCTGCCTCTGCCTTCCATTAAGTACAACATTATATTTAATTTCTCTTTTTATGTGATGAAATTTCAGCCCAGTTTCATTCTAGGTAGATGAATCATCAGTTTTTTCAATGACCACTTTAAAAAGTTTTAATTAATTTGGTTATTTGATTATGATTAAAATATATATGCTGAATGTGGTTATGCATGCCTTTAATCCCAGCCCCTGGGAGACAGAGGCAGATGGATCTTTGAGTTTGAGGCCAGCCTGGTCTACATAATGAGACCCTGTCTAAAAAAACCCAATAAATAAATAAATTAATTAATAATATATAACCTAAAATTAAACATTCTAGCCGTTTCAAAGGTACAGCTCAGGGGCTGGAGAGTTGGCTCAGCAGTTAAGAGCCCTGACTGCTCTTGCAGAGGACCCAGGTTTGATTCCCAGCACCCACATGGCGGCTACAAACCGTCCTTAACTCCAGTTCCAGGGGAATCCAAAGCCCTCTTCTGACCTCCACGGCATTGCACAACACGGGTGCACTCACATACATGCAGGCAATACACACATACACATAAAATAAAAATAAAATATTTTAAAAAGGTACAGCTCAGTGATATTTAAGTATGTTTATATTGTATAACCATAACAACTGTTCATTTCCAGAAATTAGTTTGTTTTTAAAATCATCAAAAGAGAACCCTGTTGGGTAAAATGTTGACATTTCATATAAGTCTGTTTCTGGCCTCTGTTCAGCACCTGTCTGTGTCAGCACCATACTGTCTTATATGTTGGAGTTTTATGTGAAGTTCTGGCATAAGGCAAAAACTCTTCATTTTTCTTCAAAATTTATTGGTTGTTCTTGGCATTTTGGTCTTTAGAATTTTTTTTTTTTTTCTGTCTTTTTGAAGCAGGGCTCCCTGTAGCCCTAGCTGTTCTGGAACTCACTATGTAGACCAGGCTGGCCTTGAACTCAGAGAGATCTGCCTGCCTCTGCCTCCCAAGTGCTAGGACTACAGGAGTGCACCACCACACCCAGCTTAGAAATTTTTAAATCTCATCAGCATTCACAAACAACTGTGTTGTAATTTGAAGTCAAAATTTTATCGACTCTTGGGAGTTTAGGGATAATAGCAGCTTTGTGTCTGTTACTTTTTATTCACATGCATGACCACTTTCTGACAGTTAGCCTTGATCTCAGCAAGTATTGCTGCTGAAACTCTAATTGGGTGTCCATTTAGATTTCTTCACCTGATCCTTATTCTCCCAACCTCTCATTCTCTCCTTCTCTCTGCTTCATTTAGGAGAATTCTCTCTCGTCCACAAGCTCAGCCTCATCTGAGACACAATGGGTCTCGTTTGTGAATATAAAATTTATGATAATATTTTGCTTATTTATAAATGTTCTAGTTTTTTTCCTTCAAGTTTCCCTGGTCAGTTTTTTAGTTTCTTAATTGTTCTGAGACTTATGACGCTCAGTTCATAAAAAAAAAATACTTTATACACATTTGTGTCTGAGAATGTTAGTTTGTGGCCTTCAGTGGTCTGGTTCTGTTTGTTTTTGTCAACTGATGAAACTATTTGTGGAAATTCTTGTGAGGCAAACGTTGAAGAATTCCTCCAGAGAGTTTGTGTTTGCTTTTCTGGGAACCATTATCTCTAAAGCTAATTCTCATGTAGAAATGTGAAACAGCCTAAAACTTGTATGTGAGGCTTGAGTGGTTCAGCGTCCTTGGGGAAGTTTTTTCTTTATTCTCTAGAGCCAAGTAAATGCAGGTGAATTTTCTTCCTGATTGCCTTGGCAAGGCATGTCTCCTCCCAGTCTCCCTTTATGGACCTGGTTTTATACAGAAGTTTGTCTCTGTCTCTGTGTCTCTGTCTTTCTCTCTGTCTGTCTTTCTCTCTCCTCCCTCACGTCTCTCATTTTTTCCAGACAGGGTCTCATGTAGCTCAGGCTAGCCTCAAACTCACTGTGTAGCTGAGAATGACATTGAACTTCTGATTCTCCATCAGAAGTCCTCCATCTTTCAAGTTCTGGGATTATAGGTGAGTACTACCATGGCTAACCAGATGAGCTCGGCCTAGTGGTGCAGATCTGTAATCCCAGCTACTTGGGAAGGTAAGGCAAGAGAGTCACAAGTTCAAGATCTGTCTGGACAACTTAATGATTGTTTCAAAATAAAAAGTGAAAAGAGAGCTAGGATATAGCTCAATGGAGCACTTGCCTAGCATGTGGGAAGGCCTTGGTTCGGTCTCCAGCACTGGGGGGGAATTAATCACTTTTTTGATTTGACCTCCTACCCAGATACTGCATTTGTTCTTTTTTTTTTTTTTTTTTTTTTTTTTGCCTTGGCTGCTAAAACACTGCTCTTGTCATTGCTCATTGACATTGCCCTCACTTTCCTCTTTGGTCTTGCATACCCACCCACACCCACCTTTGACCTTTGTGCAGTACCATATTTAGAATAGAGCCTGTCCTAGTAGTCACCCATGTAGGCTGTGCAGCCAAACTAAACCTCATCTGCTAGCTGTTTTCCTTTGGATATATTTCTTAGCTTTTCTGGGCTTCTGTTTTCCCATCTGACATGGAGGAAGCAGCCTTACCTACCCCATAGGGTTATAAAGATGTAATCTACTATACATAAACTGGGGCTGGCTTGCATAGTGAATGCTCAGTACATGTTAACTGTTATTTATTTATTTTTTAATATTTTATTATTTTTATTTTTTGTTTATGAGTATATTGCCTGCATGTATGTGATTGCACCCATGTTGTGCAGTGCCACGGAGGTCAGAAGAGGACTTCGGATTCCCCTGGAACTGGAGTTAAGGATGGTTCGTAGCCACCATGTGGGTGCTGGGAATCGAACCCAGGTCCTCTGCAAGAGCAGTCAGGGCTCTTAACTGCTGAGCCATCTCTCCAGCCCCATTAACTGTTATTTTTACCTTTTAAGTCTGTCCCTTTTTTGATAGAAATGCATTTTATTTTCGTAGTGCTGGGGATCAAATTCAAGGTGTTGTACATGCTGGATTACTGCTTTCCCCCTGAGCTACATCTCCAGTTCTAATACTTTTTTTTTTTCTTTGGTCTTTTTGTGTCAGGGTCTCCCTGTAGCCCCAGCTGTCCTGGAACTCACTGTGTAGACCACACTGTCCTTGAACTCACAGAGATTCACCTGCCTCTGCCTCCCTGCATGCACCACCACACCCAGGCTAATACATTTTTAAAAGGATATTTTAAACAGCATTTTTTGTGTTTTACAGTGAGGATTTTCACAGTAACTAGTCTTTTGTATTACTCTGATTCTTACTATTTTTCATCTAGTTGAATTTGATGATCTTGAAAAGTAGTTTTCACTGGGTGTGGTGGTGCATGCCTTTAATCCCAGCACTTGGGATGCAGAGGCAGGCATATCTCTGAGTTTGAGGCCAGCCTGGTCTACATATAGTAAGTTCCAGGCCAACTGGGGCTACAGGGAGACCCTATCTCAAAAAGACAACAACAAAAAAAGGTAGTTTTCCTCACCTCTGGACACATTTCTAAAAATGTGTATGACACATTTAATATTTGCGTTTACCAGCCATGTGCTCTTATAGTGGAAGATGAAGGACCTGTGTTTGTTTAGTGCCATTTTAATCTACCTCTTTTTTTCTTTTGCAGGATCATGTATGCAGAATCAGCAGCTGGCTTTCACTTTGATAATTTAGACTTTACCTCCATGAAATTTGGTAGTACTCTGGCTCGCCGCCTCTCCACAGCTTCCTCAGTCACCAAACCCCCACACTTCATCCTTACTACTGACTGGATTTGGTACTGGATGGATGAATTTGGTTCTTGGCAGGAATATGGAAGACAAGTAAGTGTGATGGAAAAAGGGTGTTTTGTACAGGATGGAGGAGCCATTCCAGATGTAAGCACAAAGATTGTCAGGGAGCATACTCTGTAGAGTTGAGGATCCTCAGGTCCCGGGTTGCTTACTGGCTTTGGGGACATTAGAGCAGAACTAGATAATTTGTAGTTCCTTTTTATGGGCTTCTGTCTTTGAATGATTAGGTGTGCCTTGGCTCATGAGAATTGAGTGATAAAAAACTAGTGAGGTCAGCTTTCTTCATTGATTTTTATTAAATAGGTTAGAAAGATGCCTCTCTTACTTGCTAATAGAGAACTCTGGCGCTTGTGCCTGGGCATACGGGTGTGTTTGTGTAGCTGTGGTATAAAGTTGAAAGCTTTTCAAGTTTCTTTTCTTGCCTCTTTCTGCAACTTTAGAAGGTGAGAATGTATAAGAATATTGATTTATATCAGCAATTGCTATGCTATGGAACTCAAATCAGGTACCTGCCCCTGTGAGTTATTGAAGGTGTTCATGATGGTTGAGCTCAAAGAGAATCCTGGTGACTTGAAGTGAAAGTATAAGGAGAGAACCATTTATGTCGAGATCTTTCTGCAGTGGAAATTGATCTGTTGGGCCTGGTGAATACTTGTATTCACTGCCTTGTTGGAGGTTGTATTGAGGCTTTTGTTTTTTGTTCTTAAAGAATGCCATTTTCTCTGGCCAATTTTGATATAAGTTCCATGAGGGCAAGACCTTTTTCTTTTACCACGGATGTATTATCCATGCTTAAAATGATATATTACAGGTCCTCCAGAACTAGATGGCTATCAAAAGAGAAGGTCTTGCTGCTTCAGTTTGTTGGTCAATTGGAGCTGGTTGCTGTCAGTGCTAGGTACTCCCCAGCAGCAGTCTCTCCTCACTTGCTGCTTTGCCTAACCTCCTCAACTCCCCGTTTCCTGTCTTCCATCATTCTGGGCACTGTCTTACCTGCCTTTGGTCTCATTCAGACAGATTCTCCAATTTGATCAGAAGCATAAGAGAAAAAGGCCTGATGGGGGAGGGGAGAAAGCAACTGACTGATCATGTTCCATGAATCTGGCTTGCCTAGTTAAGAAGATTTTGGGACCAGTGACAGGACAGAAACACTTAGCAAAGTTGTCAGTAGTCATATTTTATTTGGTGATCCCTCTAGCTCCCGGGAAAGACAGAGGCATCCCTATTGGGATGACACAGGGCCCTGGTTCTCTGAAGTAGCTTCCTATACTGAATTATCAAATTCAGGATTGGGGACCCTTGTTTTCCAAACAATCCATACTTGGGTTTTTTCCTTTTTTTTCCCCCTGTGTTTTCACTCTTTAATTGCATTGTGTAAAGTCATTTAGAACAGTTTGAAAATCCCTAGGAATAGACTGCATGTGGATATTTTTGATGTACCCATGTGCTGGTGGGATTGTCCACAGGTGTGGACTTGATGGGTTCTCTTGATTTCCTTTTGTACTGTTAGCTGTACAACCTTGGGATCATTCTTGTCCTTTCACCTTTTTTGGGTTCTTTTCCTTAGTTTTTTGCTAATTTCCAGTTTCAAGTCAGTCTTCTTTTGATTTTCAGAAAAGATAAGTTCTTGTCTGAGTTCAGGATGTACCCCAAAATTTAGTGTGGCACCTGGGCCAGCCTCAGAACACATGGAGATTTGTTTTCCCTTCCAATCTTACTAGGATCTCCAAGTGTTAAACTTGGGTTTTTTCAGTCTAACCCTTAGTTTTTTCCTCTAGACCTCTGCTATGGCCAAAACCATTTGTTTTTGCTTTCTGCTCAGGTACCTGCATTGTAACCTGTGTTAAGGGATTTTGATTGTAAAGTTCAGGTCTGGGACATGATAGGCATGCCTATCTGCCTCTTCTCTCCATTCCCCTTGATTCTTTGCTTAATTTCCTTGGGCTGAACGGACTTGCTTTCTTCCTTTCCCCTTGCTATCTAGAAAGGATTTTTAATACTGCCTGCTCATCCTTTCCAATTTTAACCTAATAGTTTAGTTTTGAAGGATGGTGGAGTTTATAAGGAAAAACTTAGGCATAATATAAGGTATAAGGCCATAAAATAGATTACTTCCAAAATGACATATCTTCTACATCCTCCCTGATCGCCTTCACAGAGCGAAGTCCTTCTGACTCCTTGACTCACATGTCTTTTTCCTCCAGGAAACTTTTGCCAGGTTATCCCTCAGCAAAGGTCATTCTCAGTAAGTCCCCTTAGTTTCTGTATCATTCCATATAGACCTATGAGGGACTTTGAAGATGGTGTATTATATTAATATGGTTACTTGCTTTAGTCTTCCCCTCGTCTTTTGCTGTATTGAGCTTTGTTTTATTATTCTGTCCATAAAGTCTAGAACTTGTGACTTAGGGTAGGATGGTACCACTGAGGGGAATAGGAAAAGTTACAGAGTCAGAGTTAAAGGTTCAATAGCTTTACTTTTAGTTACCAGTAAATTGTCAGATACATGAATAATGATGATGAGGTCTGGCAAGATGGCTTGGCAGGTGAAGGCATTTCCTGCCAAGCCTGACAATCTAAGTTTGATCCCTGGGACCCACATGGTGGAGGGAGAAAAATGACTCCACAAAGTTGCCTTCTGACATCCACATATGTGCTATGACATGCGTGCCTCTCCCCCCAAATAAACGTAATAAAAAATAAAGAAATCTAATAAAAAGTCTAATAAAAATTTAAAAAGAATAATGATGACTATAGGTAAAATTTATTGAATCTTTTCCTAGGCACTATGCTAGGTGTTCTACATACCCTATTCTAATTATTTTTCCAACTTAGCATGTGTGGTATAGTTCTAGTGCATAATATAAGTATATTTAAATATAATTATTCATTTATTTATTCTTTACATCTGTGGTAACTGAGACTCAGAGTTTAAACGAATTTCCAAGCCAGCAGACTTGGGAGTTTATTAGTGTCTTTTCTGTTGCTGAAGGAGATTGGGTACTTTAAAAGTGGTATATTTAGCTCACAGGAGGCTGAAAGTCCAAGATCAGGCAGTCCCATCTATTTGGTCTCTGGTGAGGGCTCTCTTGGTTGGGTCACAATATGGTAGACAAGGAGAAAGGAAAGGAGCTGTGTGCCAAAAGGGCTAAGTAGGTGAATTATTTTGCCTTATAATAACTTACAAGACTGTTAACTCACTCCACAAGACCAGCATCAGTCTCTTCTTAAGGCAGTGCCCAGTGACTGAACCAATCCTCATTTGGCCCCACTTTTTTTTTTTTGATCTTTTTGAAGCAGTCTCCCTGCAGCCCCGGCTAGCCTTGAATTCATAGAGATCCTCCTGTCTCTGCCTCCCAAGTGCTAGGATTAAAGGTGTGTGCCACTATGCCCAGCTTGACCTCACTTCTTAAAGCTCCTACTCCATGGGACTGGAGAGATGGCTCAGCAGTTATGAGCACTGACTGCTCTTGCAGAGGACCTGGGTTTGATTCCCAGCACCCACATGGTGGCTACAAACTGTCCTTAACTCCAGTTCCAGGGGAATCTGAAGCCCTCTTCTGACCTCCGCGGCATTGCACGACACAGGTACACTCACATACATGCAGGCAATACATTCATACGCATAAAATAAAAAAAAAAAATCCTCCTACTCCTTAGCATTACCACACTGAGGATTAAGCTATCAGAGCTTATAAATTCTTGGGGGACAAACCATATCTAAGCCATAACAGAAATTCAGAATTTAAACTCAGGTGAGTCCAACCCTAAATATTAGATATTAGTAGGCAATTGTGGAGAAAACGAAAGGTTGAAATAAATAACTAAAAAAAAAAACAGAGGAGTCTTCCAAGGGACCAGAAAGAGAAAGCCACATAGAAAATAACTGAAGCCTGACTAAAGAATGGAGGGAATGAGAGCAGCCAGAGAAGTAGTGTTGCCTAACTGGTCAGTTAAGCAGTGTGGGAGAATTCCCTGTTGATATTTTACCATCATTTTCAACGTTTGTCATCCATTCTGAAAATTAAAAAAAAAAATTTTGTGTGTGTGTGTCTGTGTCTGTGTCTGTCTGTCTCTGTCTGTGGGTACATGCATGCCATAGCACACATGTGGCAGACAGAGGACAATTTGTGGCAGTTGGTTCTCTCCTATTATGTGTTCTAGGGATTGAACTCAAGTTGCCAGCCTTGGTGGCAAGTGCTTTTACCACTGAGCCATCCCACTGTCCTGAGGAATTTGAATACCCTTTTTTCCATTGCTTGTATTCCTGTTACCCTGCTCAGCAGGACCTGTACTTAACTCCCTTCTGTTTACCAGGAAAGCTTTACATGAGTCCTCTCCCTTCCTTCTATGCCTCCCTCCCTTCTAGTGTGCTCCCTGGTGCCTCCCTCTTCCCCTATAACAAGACCATTTCATTTGTCTTGAGCGTGTATAGAATATGGCTGGACTAGCCAGCATCTTTGCTCATCATCATAGGTTTTTGTCTCCATGAAGTCTTTGGGTTTCCCCCTTACAGGGCACAGCATACCCTGTGACTACCATCAACAGCAGTGATGTGGAAAAGGCCTACCTGGCATTCTGTGTCCCAGGGGCTGATGCCCAAGCAGCCACCTTGAAGTTCCAGGCTGGAAAGCACAACTACGAATTAGACTTCAAAGGTAAACCCCACCATCATGGGGCAGAGTCTGGCCTGTGTGGATTCAACTCTTCCATATTAACCTGGGGGCCTGGGCTGGTATAAGAAAGGAAGAAGGGTATGTTCATCTCAGAAAGCATATGGACCCATCAACAGATGATGCTGGCCTGCAGTGCCAAGGAGATATGCTTGGAGGATTTGAGGAGAGGGGGCCCCTTCTGAAACATGGTGGAACAGGGTCAGTGAGCACAGTATGGCTATTCTGAGGGCTGTGGGCAGCTCCTTTTGTATCTGTAGATTAACCTCAAATCCTGATGAGGCCCAAGTGGCTCTGTTATGCAGTGTCCCCTCATCGCTTCCTGCTGTGGCCTTGTACTTTGATGGGACATCAGTCAGTCTTAGCATGTTATAGGACACACTTTAATTAAAACTTCCTTCTTGTGGGGCTAGAGAGATGGCTCAGCAGTTAAAAGCACTGGCTGCTCTTGCAGAGGACCTGGGTTTGGTTCCCAGCACCCACATGGTTGTTAACAACTGTCTGTAACTCCAGTTCCAGGAGATCTGATGCCCTCTTCTGACCCCTGCAGGCATTGCAAGACATGGATGCACCTACATACATGCAGGCTGTATACTCATACATGTTAAAGAAAAAAAAGTTCTGTACTTGGGGTGTCTTGAAACTAGATCTCAGATGATTTTTCCCATTTAACCAACAGAAGCAGGTCAGGCACCCATTGGCCCATGGCTTCCGTGACTGATATGTAAGAATTTTTTACATTTTAGTCTTGCTATATAGTTTTTCTTATGCCATCTCCATTTTGGTTATCTATTTAGCTTTGCACAGTTCACCTTCCCCTGAATTTCACATTTTAGACTTGGCATCCTCTTGGAAGCCCAGCATGTTAAAGGGAATCAGAGGGCTTTCTTTCAGTGCAGTGTACTATCTTTGCTGTTTTGTGCACTTCATTCTGTGTGGAAGGCAGCAAAGTGCCTTCAGTGAATTGTCCTAAAAAACACTTGGCTGCTTGCTTTTGGCCAGTTATTTTTGGCTTATGGTTTTACAGCACTTGTGGTTTTGTTTAAGGGAGACTCCCTACCCCTTGTCTTGCCCCTAAGAAAAGTACCTTTTGTTCTCCAGGGGAAGACTTCTGCTGGAGGATGCCACCCTTGGTGCCACAGCTGACAGTCACATAATATTTGATGGTGTGTGGAAGAGCATAGGGAGAAAATAAAAGGCAGGATTGCCTTGAAGCCAGTTTATGCAGCTGTCATGCCTCTGACTGATGCTGACTACAGTATGAAATAGTTCCTTCAAATATGTGGAAAAGTCAGACACAACAATGTCAGTTGCACCTTTATAATTCTCAACTTGGACCTCAAGCCCTGAGGATATAGTGTACTCAGCACAAGGATGTAGAGGGGGCATACACACGTGTAGCTAGAAAAAGTGTGTTACAGTGGCCTGACCTAAACTCATTAGGCTGGCCATAGTTCATTTGTTGATTGATTTTTCTTTTTTGGTATTAGTAGTATTTACAAAAGAAAAAGAAGTGTTTGGCTTCACCTTCACAGTCTCTGCTAGTGATGTATAATTGAAAGCAAGAGTCTCAGACCATACTCTGCCACATATACTTGCTGGGTTTTTTTTAATTTTTTTATTTTTTGGTCTTTTTGAGACAGGGTCTCCCTGTAGCCCCAGCTGTCCTGGATTTACTATGGAGACCAGGCTGGCCTCGAACTCACAGAGATCCACCTACCTCTGCCTCCCGAGTGCTGGGATTAAAGGCGTGTGCCACCACGCCTGGCTACTTGCTGTTTAGTAGGAAACCAACCTTCAAAATACATATACAGCAGCCCAAATGACTTGTTCTGTAGGTTTGGGCAGACCATCTCTATCTTTTTTAAGGATTCTTCATGAAGGAATAACTCAAGGTGAAAGCCAGGCTATAGACAGGCAGAATTTCCTAAGGCAAGCTCATTTAGAGATGTAACCCAGTGTAAGTTAAGGAAACCACAAGGTAATTAGGGAAAAGGGCTTCCCCTTAGAAAAGGTGTCTAATACATACTTAGCCAGTGTATCTATTCTGGATAGCCTATTTTCACTAGTGAATGCTCATTTAAAATTCATTATAGATAGTTAATAGGCCAGGTGCACTAATGAGAAAGCATCAGTGGAAGGTTGAATGAATGATGATGACAGAAGGGTCACAGAGCTGGCGTGTGAATAATGAACTCCAGAAGGGGATGAGGATAGCTGTAGTATAAGGGATACACCTCAGAACCATGTAGTTTATGTTTAAAGACAGTGAGGGAAAGTTCAGACATCTATAACTTTTAATATTAAAACGTTCCTAAAATGAAAATAAAATTGGTTTTATATCTTTAAGTATGCAAAGTAGGACTTGATAGAGTTTTCCTAATAAGAAACATAACTTCTAGATATTTGTCATCTTTCAGTGGAAAGGCTGGGTACCTGTCCTTCATCCTTCGGATGAACTCGAGAGTCTTTGAGAGTAGGGAAAAAGTTATATTTATGAAAGACAGGGGTTTAAAAAGATTGATAAACACTAGTAATAGAGCCAATTTATTAAAAAATGTAAGAATAAAATTATTGTATTAACTATAAATCACATTAACTCACGATGTGATAATTTGGTCTCAGGCTGGGCTGGAGCTCTTTTATATCCAAGCTGGGAAAATTTGCTAGTAAAATAAAAGTTTAAATATGATTGGAATGAACAATTTAGAAGCACTCATGTATAGTTGATATGTCAATTACTAATCATTCCTCTATTCATTAAACTCAGCCTCCTAAGGATACCTTTTTTCTTTATGAATATTTGAAATGTGTAAAACTGCTTTATTTTTAAGACTGATTCTGGATTTTACATGTTTGGATTAGATGTCCAACCCATTTAATTTATGTTTATAAAACATTACTTTGTGTGTGTGTGTGTGTGTGTGTGTGTGTGTGTGTGTGTATGTATCTACAATATGTATGTTTTTTCATTGGTTATTTTTTTCCTCAGCTTTTGTGCAGAAAAATCTGGTCTATGGTACTGTCAGAAAGGTTCGTCGAAGACCCAAGTATGTGTCTCCCCAGGATGTGCAGATGAAGCAGTCCTGGTAAGTAGTATTTGCGGAGCTTGCCTGGTGTATGTTTTCAGTTGAGGTATTTTTTGCTTGCCTCTCTTAGACCTCAAGAAAGGACACTGACTGGCATGTGTGACTAGCATACTACTGTCATTCAAACCTACTAGTTAAGAATGTCTTCTTCAGACAAAGCGAGAATTAGCCTTGTGGATGAAAGCTTCATCACACAAAGGTACAAGGCTGCCTGTTGGGATGTACAAGGCTAGCTAGACTATGAAGCCAGTCCATCAGTTTGTCTTTGAATATAACAACTGAGTTGTTGACATGATTGTTTTTAAAATGATGAAGTAGTAAAACAATGATGGAATTATACTAATAAAAAAACTTATGTATTTCATTCTTGAATATCATGGAATTCCAAAATACCGAAACCATTATTATTGTCCTTAATAAAACAGCAGCTTTATTTCCAGGTTGGGTTTCTTTACATCACAGGATGACGGCTGTGAGCCTCTAGTTGAGTTCATAGGCTTGGGAGTACATAAGGAAGGAATGAAGATTTCTGCAGTTGGTGGGAAATTCTTGAGCTTGACACTGATCAGATCTCCTTTGAAGCAAGTGTCTTAGGCTTAGGCAGGTGTGATGAGACTGGAGCTAGCCAGGATAGGGAAGACATCCCATGGTTTCCCTTATAGTTTGAGTTTGCCACAGCCAATGTTGGGACTTTAAACTAACAGTGGTGTTAGATGCTTATAGCTTTATTAGCCTGAGAAGTCAGGCTCACTGCTGTTTTATGGGAGGGAGTATCTCTGTTGGGTCTCTGAAGACTTCAGCGATGAATATCATTGATTGTGCTTGTGAAAAAGAAATTCTTTCATTTAAGAAAGAATTTGTTGGGGCTAGAGAGATGACTCAGTGGTTAAGAGCACTGGTTGTTCTTACAGAGGACCCGGGTTTGGTTCCCAGCACCTACATGTCAGCTAACAACTGTCTGTAACTCCAGTTTCAGGAGATCCAACACCCTCTTCTTCTGACCTCTACATTGCACAGCATGGGTGCACTTACATACATGCAGGCAATATACTCATACATATAAAATTTTTAAAAATATTATTTTTATTTTATGTGTATGAGTGCTATGCCTGCATGTAGGTAAATGCACCTGTGTCATGCAGTGCTCGTGGAGGACAGAAGAGGCTGTCGGATCCACTGGAACTAGAGTTACAGACAGTTGTTAGCTGCCATGTGGGTGCTAGGATTCGAACCTGGGTCTTCTGTAAGAGCAGTGTTCTTAACCGTTGAGCCATCTCTCCAGCCCCCAAAGTTAAAAACTTTTAATAAAGTCTACTCCGTGGTTTGTATCTGTGTTATCTCTACCCTGCTTCCACTGTAGTAACCATTTTCATTTGCTTCTCATTTTTATTATGCTTATCTTTGCAAAAAATAAAAATATGTCTACATATACACAAAACTATTTGCCTATTAGGAAAATTATTTTTCTTCCATAAAAAGTAACCTACTATGTATATTATTCTGCACCTTTAAAAAATACTTAAACATAGATCCTGGTAACTATCTCTGTTCAAGTCATTGAAATCTTCCTAAATCTACTGCTTATGTGGTTCTCTGTTTTGTGTATATAGCATAGTTTATTTAATTTGTCTCCTTCTGATGTTTGTGTTTTCAGTGTTTTGCTATTACAAAGTATAATGCCACAAAGAAGCATTTGGTGTATGTGCTGTTCCAAATTTGGAGGTTGATTGTCAGGTTAGAGTCCTAGAAGGTAAATCAAGTTCCTTTTCACGATCTTGGACCATCACAGCTGCCCAGCAAGATTTGTGGTTTGCAGGTTTCCCTTGGGCTTGCTGCCAGTGACTCAGTAAGCCCTGTACTTCTTCTGAGCTCATGGTGTGCTTGCTGTGCTTTCTCTTTTGAGTGAGATTGAACATTTTTCCCTAAAATATCCATGCCAGTTCTCCCACTCCCATTTTTTCTGCTGTGTTCTTTTTTTAAATTTAAATTTTGTTTATTATTACTGTGTGTGTATGTGTGGTTTTGTGTGTGAGTGCAGGCCTGCATATGCTAAGGTGCATGCATGGAAGTCAGAGTTTTGGGGTTTTGGAAGTTGGTGCTGTCCTTCCACTGTGGGAGCTGGGGATCCAAACTCATGACCTCATGGTTTATGGCAAGTACTTTACCAGATGAGCTCTCTTCTCAGCCCTGAGAGCTTTTTATCTGATAGGCCCTCTTAGCCCTTGGCTGCTTCTCTAAGTTTCAGATACTGTCTCTTGGCTTTTATTTGCTTTATTACTTTGCTTATACGGTATTTTTATTACAGAGTTATCTTCTATTTTACTTTTTTGGTTAAATAACCAGTCTCTTTGGTATCATTTCTGGGTTTAGTTAATGGTTGATTCTGGTAGCCCTACAACTAGAAGTAATGTTTTATTCTTTCCCTGGTACAGAGCCTACCCTAAGCAAAAGTTAAAGTCATCTGTCTCTTTGATGAGACTCAGTCTCTAGTGTCATCATTTTAATTTAGTTTGTTGTTCTGTTTTGTTTTGTTTTAAATATTTTATTCTTTGTTTTATGCTTACAAATGTGTTGCCTGCATGTATGGGAGTGCACCCATGTCCTGCAATGCAGAGGAAATCAGAAGAGGGATTCGGATTCCCTTGGAACTGGAGTTAAGGACAGTTCATAGCCGCCATGTGGGTGCTGGGAATTGAACCCAGGTCCTCTGCAAGAGCAGTCAGTGCTCTTAACTGCTGAGCCATCTCTCCAGCCCCTCTAATTTAGTTTTTAGGAGGCTATAACTAGACATATGCTTAGCATGTGCAAGTCGAGGTCCTGGGTTTGATTCCTAGCACCACAAAAAGGTTATTATTTTGATCAAATATGAAATAAGGTATGAGTGATTCAGCCCTCCGTGGGCTGAGTGTCCTGCTCTTGCAGATGATGTGCCTAATTCTTCCCTTTGTGACAGTAGCTGGTTGTCAGTAACCCTAGCAGCAAAGGCTGTTAGGCCTCTATTAACCACACCTTAATTTCTAGGAGTACGAGATAACATTATTTTGTACTGTGAATGCTTCATTAAAATTACTCCCATTTGGGGCTGGAGAGATGGCTCAGCAGTTAAGAACACTGACTGCTCTTGCAGAGGACCTGGGTTCAATTCCCAGCACCTACATGGCGGCTATGAACCATCCTTAACTCCAGTTCCAGGGGACTCCGAAGCCCTCCTCTGACCTCTGCGGCATTGCATGACATGGGTGCACTCACATACATACAAGCAATACACTCATACACATAAAATAAAAATAATAAATAAAAAAATTTAAAAGTCACTCACATTTTAGCTGCTTTTTTTGTCCTTTCAAATTCCTTAGATAAACTTCTGATGGAAGACGACTGTTTCTGGTTTGTCTAAATGTCTTTATTTTGCCCTTAAGATGCTTTCACTGGTTATAGACTCTTAGTCTGTGTTGCTTTGTCTCGGAACACTGAAGATAGCACTCTTCTGTCTTCTGCTTCCCATTTTGCTTTTGACAAGTTGCTCTTGGTTTAAGTAGCACTTTTTGATGGCTATCACACTTTTTTTTTTTTTTTCCTGTAGCCAATTTTAAAGGCCTCTTATCTTGGAGTTTGTACCTCACTCTGAAGTGCCTAGGTATATGTTTGTATTTATTTTGCCTGTGATTCTTCGGGCTTCTTAAAGCTGTGCCCAGCACATCTCATCAGTTCTGTGGTCTCCTTCCTGTCTGCTGCTTCCCTTAGGTTCTGACTTCATTCCCACTGGGCCTTTTCGCCATTCTCTGCATCTCAGCTTCTTTCCTATTCCCATCTCATCTGCTCTGGGCCACTTTCTGAATTCTTTATCCCATGTGTTTTTCAGCTCACTTCACTCTTCAGATGTTTCAATCTGCTAATTAGCCTGTCCACTGAGTGTTTACTGTGAAAGATTCTACTCTACTTTTCTAGACTGTCTACTGGGTTCTTTTTCAGACTTTCTGGGTCTTTTATGGTTTTCCTACATACGTATTCAAGTTCTCTTTATGCGTAAGAATGATTGCTATTTTATAATCTGCCTGATAATTTTATCATTATAAGTCTTTATTGGTCTGCTTTTTGTTGATGATTATTGGTAGGTCCTTGCTTAGTTATTTTTAAACTGTGACATTTTCCTAGGAAGGTTATTTGTGGGATTTCTTTGAGGTTTGGGATGAAGGGACATGTCCCATGCCAACAGAAACAGAAGGTAGATGTGTTGTTGGAAGGACAGTGGATTCTGCAATTTAAAGGGAATGAGTTGGATTATAGTTTTACGGTGCTGCTCCTAAGACCTTTGAATCATGTGTCTTCTAGTGCTGTTTTCATAGTAGCTTCTTAAATTTATTATATATATTTTTTTTTTTTTTTGGTCTTGAGACAGGGTCTCCCTGTAGCCCCAGCTGTCCTGGAACTCACTATGTAGACCAGGGTGGCCTTGAAGTCACAGAGATCCATCTGCGTCTGCCTCCCCAATGCTGGGATTAAAGGAGTGCGCCACCACACCTGGCCGTTTATATTTTTAGAAAGATAGTATACTGCCTATGTTATATGACACCCTGTAATTTAGCCCACTAATATTTTTGCAAAGAAGAATGTATTTAAGGACAAATAATAGACTATAAATATCAACTAATATTTCTGTTACCAAATAGGTTTTGGCACCAATGTTAAACAGTTTTAAAATATTTTTAGGCTGGGCGTGGTGGTGCATGCCTTTAGAGCAGAGGCAGGTGGATCTCTGAGTTCGCCTGGTCTCCATAGCGAATCTAGGCCAGTGATGAACTCCTTTAATCCCAGCACTTGGGAGGCAGAGGAAGGTGGATTTCTGTGCGTTCAAGGCCAACCTGGTCTACATAGTGAGTTCCAGGCCAGCTGGGGCTACGGGGAGACCCTGTCTCAAAAAGACCAAAAAAATAAAAATAAAAATAGATAAATAAAACAAATTTTTTTAATATGTCAAGTACATATCTTTAAAGCTTAAAGTCTTTGGTGCTCTTTAAATTTCAAGATTGGGATAAAGGCTGTGTATTCTTTGTGCTTGTGTGTTCTACCCTTTCTGTGTGGTAATGGGACACAGGTTGAGAGGTGCATCTCTCACAGCTGATAATTTTTGGTTTGGCCACATAGGCAAGGTGAAAGTGCTCTTGTGTGGTGGATACTGTGACATGCTTCCTTGCCGTCTACCTACTTTTAAAATGTTATGCTGAGTCTCAGACTGATTATATTAGTGAGTAGAGATCACCTGTGATAGATTTGCTTATGTCTAAGGATTAAATGTCTAAGTGGTTTTGTTTACTTTTGTAGCAATGCCAAATTTCAAGGCCTAAAGAGCATCCCAGACTACTGGGACCATGCAGCCCTGCCAGACCTGGGATTTAAGGTATGAGATTCTCACACCCTGGAGCTGGAAAGGAGGGGTTTTATAGAGATGGGTGTGTGTGCAGCGATTGCTCTATGCAGCTGTGTCTTATGGGGACATGACCACAGAGAGGTGTTTTCTTTCTTTGTTTTTGCAGATTTTGGGGTATTAAGGCCAGATGACCATCTATGGAATAATATGGCTCCTGGGGAAAGGTGGTAGTGTGAACGGGGAGGGGAAGATAAGCTGTGAAATTTTCTAGGAAGGGCAGAAATAAGGAGCTTCCAAGCTGGGCTTGGCTAGTAAATCTGTTTCAGTAAGTAATAAAAAGGAACCAGGGCAAGATTTGATGTGATGAGGGACATTAGAGTGGGGAAAACACTAGACACACAGTAGACCAGACAGTTTAGTAGTTCAGTTGGGTCCTACTTTCTGGTTACTGTGGTAAGCAGTATAATACTCTATCCTGAATAATATCCCTTACGGCCCCATCAGTGTGGAGCACCTTGGCTGATTGTTAGTGCTTGGCATTTGCCAATTGTTGCAAACAGACTTTTCCAACATGACAAACCCTGTCCTGGAAGGACTCCTATCATAGAGTACTACACACAAAGAGTAGCAAGGCAGGCAGCATGTGAAGGGCTGGAGAAGTTCACATTCTTTTTTTTTGATAACAGCCTTTGTAGGCCCACGTGGTCCACCTCTTTGTCTTTGGCTTGTGTGGGATACGAAAGAGAAACATCCTGGGGTCACATAGGATGGCTGGCTTAGGCACCACTTGCCTGTCATTTGGGCTGTTTTCAAAGCAAACAAGAGGAAATAAATATATTTGTAAACATCCCACATTGGAGAGACCACATCTCAGGGAAAGGGGAGATGGGTATCACTCTTTGGCTTTATTCTGTAGTTATAGAGGTTCCCAGTGACATCAGGAACAGTTTGTGTATATGAACCATATGACAATAACATAGGAAAAATATTTTCCCCTTGTAGAAGATTGTCCTCAGTTCTTCCTCGGAAGAGTACCAGAAGGTCTGGAACCTCTTCAACCGTACACTGCCTTTCTACTTTGTTCAGAAGATCGAGCGGATCCAGAACTTGGGCCTGTGGGAAGTCTACCAATGGTATATTGGGGTTGGCTATTGGCTGATAGCTCTGTCACTTACTCTGCTAGCTGTTTACCAACATGTCCTGGATCTCCAGGACAGTCAGATACTGTAGCATGTTCATCCAGTGCTGCTGTGTGCCACGAGCTGTCTACACTCTTCTTTAAGGCTGTGTGATGGAGTAACCCCTTGTAAAGGTAAAGAAACTAAAGCTTCCCTAGCATAGGTCCTGTTCTCATCCTGGCTAGTAGCAAAGCCAGACCCCACTCTTGCCCATTCTACCTTCCTGGAGATCTGTGAGATAGAGCTAAACTCTTCACCCACATTGTCAGCCCCAGGAATGTAAAGCTGTGGCCAGAGAGCAGGAGCCACGTTGAATGTGTATGTGGAGGGTGGGTACAGCCTGTTCTTGGTCACCCAGCATTTCTTCATGTGGGGTGGAAATTTGCCATGGATCTCTACAGTGGGCTAGGGCTAGCTGACCTATCCCTATGTGGGTCTGGGGCAATATTGTTGCACTTCACAGTAATACTCTGTCATGGTGAGAGGGGAGGGTGGGCTCTGAGGGTGCCCCCCCCAAGACTTTTCTCCACTTTGTAGCTTTCCAGGCCCAGCTTCACTCAGGGCAGGTGGAGGAAGGACCCATGCCTGCTTTTCAAGAACTGCTCTGCTCTGGAGCCTATTGCTATGGAAGGGAAGCTTTTCCTCTGATCTTCTACCAGGCCCTGCCATACCTTCTGTCCTATTCTCTAACCTGTGGCTAGATCCTCCAGGGTCTGGCTGGGGCAGCCCATAGCCCTCATTTTCTGGTTATATAATAATAATTCTTCCTTCTTCTTCCTCTTCCTCTTCCTTCTCTTCTTCTTCCTCTACTTTTCCTCCTCCTCCTCTTCTACAAAATGCATTTTTATGGATCCAGGAAGCTGAACTTGATGGTTAGCACTCTTTTCCCTCAACATGCATGTTTCTACCATTCTAGGCAAAAAGGGCAGATGCAGAAGCGAAATGGGGGGAAGGAAGTAGATGAGAGACAGCTGTTCCATGGTACCAGCAGCAACTTCGTGGATGCCATCTGCCAGCAGAACTTTGACTGGCGGGTCTGTGGTCTTCATGGTACATCCTATGGCAAGGGTAAGGTGAGGGTGGCCTCTTTTGGTGGCTAGGAAACTGCTTGAAAACAGACAGAGGGTACTGAAGAGCCTGTCTATGCCAGTGACAAGTGACCTTCAAGCCTCTGGGGGTGCAATGTCACCCTGAGCTGGCAGTGTCCTGGCTATTACTCAGCAGTGCTTAGTCAGGAGCTCAGCTAAGGTGTGGCAGGGCAGTCCTGCCTCACAGAGATTTGCTTCCCTGTAGAAAGAAGGGAAGTGGGAGGTAGTGACAGTTGAAAGAGGAGAGGGACACCTTTAACCCTGATGAACTCCCCAGACTGCCTTAATGATGGCCTTAGAATAGAAACCTGGAAACCTCCTAATGTATGAGTTTTCTCAGTTTTTGATCTCTTGATTATTTAAAAAACTTTACTTGATAGTAATTTTAAAGTTATAGAAAGAAATGCAAGGAAAACATGTATGTGGGGGCTGGAGAAATGTCTCAGTTGTTAAAAGTATGAGCTGCTCTTCCAAAAGATATGGGTTCAGTTCTCAACACCCTCATGGCAGCTAACAACAGTCCATAACTCCAGTTCTGGGGGATTCAGCACCCTCTTTTGGTCTCCACAGGCATTGTACATATGTGGTACACTTACATACATGCAGGCAAAACACTCATATACATAAAAATAAATTTTTAAAAATTAAAAATGTAGGCTGGGCATGGTGGCACACACCTTTAGTCCCAGCACTTGGGAGGCAGAGGCAGGCAGATCTCTGGGAGTTCTAGGCCAGCCTGGTCTCCATAGTGAGTTCCAGGCCAGCTGGGGCTGCAGGGAGATCCTGTCTCAAAAAGACAAAAAAAAAGTATGTTTATATATATTATACATGTGCATACATATGTAATGTATATACACATACATATATGTATAACGACTCCTGCATAAATTATACCTATATTCATCCATTTTAACATCTTGCCTTGTTGACTTTTATCACTTATTTTCTGAACCATTTGCAAGCATATATGGTAACCTTTCACCCTTCAACACTTACTGAGAAAAAGAAGAGGACTTCGCCTATAGCCACATTGTGGTAACTAAATTTAGAAAATTCAATAACCTGTAGTTCTTACTCTAACTCCATGAACTACCTGTATGTTAGTTTCAGTCTGACATGGTAGTTGTGGGATCAGGATAGACAGAAGCTGGTGATAGATTTGTGAACCCCATTTGGAGGAGGCCGCTTCTGTTCTAACTCAGGTTCCCATTTGACAAGCATTTTTCTACGTGTTGGTCTGCTTATACCCATAGAGTGGCTCAGTGAAAGAGATGTTACACTTTCCATGCTAACCCACTGAGGTTGGGCAGGACCACCTCATCTCATACATGGGCAAATTGAAGTCTAAGACTAAATAGCAACAGGCTCAGAGATCTTTGTTTTTGTTGGATTTAGAACTAAGAGTAGTTTCTGAGTTAGGTGACCCCTTGGATGCCCTGCCACATGGGGAGAGAGGTTGTTGATAACTTCCATGCATGAAGGCAATAGTGGAGAACTGGAGAAGGGGATGTGGTATTGAAAGAGCAGAGACTGCTGGCATCACCCATTGCCAGGATTTGTCCTTCTAGTGTCCAGTGGAGCCTGTGTGTGTCATTTCAGGGAGCTACTTTGCCCGAGATGCTGCCTATTCCCACCACTACAGCAAATCCGACACACATTCCCACATGATGTTCCTGGCCCGGGTGCTGGTGGGAGACTTCGTCAGGGGCAATGCTGCTTTCGTCCGCCCTCCAGCCAAGGAAGGCCAGAGAAATGCCTTCTATGACAGTTGTGTGAACAGTGTGTCCGACCCAACCATCTTTGTAGTTTTTGAGAAGCACCAGGTCTACCCCGAGTACCTCATCCAGTACTCTACCTCCTCTAAGCCCCTGCCTGGCCCATCCATCTTTGTTGCCTTGAGTTCCTTGTTCACCAGCCGGCAATGAGCATGAACAGGATGTGTTAGGCCTTTTTGGCATATCCATCTTGGTGGAACTGTTGGGGATTCTTTTTAAAGCAAAACTTTTAATGAACTCTTGTTTAATGTTAGCTTCTCAATGAAGTTGCACTTTTTTTTCTCCCTTAGTGCTGGGGGTGGAACCCAAGGCCTTGTGCTTGTACTCTACCACTCTAGGCTCTACCACTGAGCTACACCCCAGCCCTTTTAAAATTGTTTTTATTTTGAGACAGGGTTTTGCTAAGTTACCTAGGCTTGCCCTGAACTCAAGATCATCCTGCCTCAGCCTCCTGAGTAGCTGGGATTACAGGCCTGTGTGACCAGGCCTGACTTGAAGTTACATTCTTAATCCCTTGCTCATAACATTTTTAACTTTTAGGTCCCTTTCAGGTTGGCTTGTGGCCTCATCATAGTGATTTTGGTGAGCCCAAGTTTGCATTTTAATAATGTTAGCATTGTATTTTTTACTCTTTGCTGACTTTGCCATTATTGATACCAAGCACAGTTTCTATGCATAGTTTTATGGATTTGTTTTAATTGTTAAGAATCTGTCTCTAAAGCAGGTCTGTTTGGGGGTGGTTTTGTTTCCAGTTTGCTTTTTTTTTTGTTTTTGTCAGAGTAGCATAGTGACCATATGGGGAGGATACCACAGGGCAGACCTAAGGCATTACTGTCACTTCTGCCCACTGTTCTGGTACTAACCCAGACAGCTCTTGGTGACTGATCCTGGGCTCTGGTACTAGTTGGCTTGTGCTGTATTATCAAAACCAATAGCTACTTTGGTGATGTCAAGTACCTGCCAGTTTTCCCTTGTTCTGGTGGGAGTTAGCATGCAGAGGAAGCACAGCACCCCCAACCCCAACAGGATACATGGATAAGTGCCCCCAGGAGTATTGGGTTTGGGCCTTTGAGTGCCTTTACCTGCATCCCTTAAGCACACTGGACATGCTTCAAGTGTGGTTTTTATGTCCCAATGAGATTGACTACCTGTGCTGCAAATGTCATATAAGAGTACGGAAATAAAAACTATCTGAAGTAGATAAAGGCTGGTGCTCATTTTTCAGTCTGTTTAAAGAGTGCCAGATAGGTACCAGGCCCTTTCCTGTTATTAGAATTATCTTGGTCATTTAGGCTAATATAGCAAAATATCATTAATGTGTGGCTTGTATTAAATAGTAGGCATTCATCATTCAAGGTTCTGGAGACTGAGAAGTCCAAGGTCCCTGCCTATAGATTCAGGGTCCCATAAGGGCTCATTCCTCATAGGTAGCCATCTTCTCACTCTAACTTTGGTGGTAGAAGGGGGTCAAGTCTCTGTCTCTCTCTCTGTCTCTCTCTGTTTTTTTTTTTTTTTAAAAAAAAAAAAAAAAAAAAAAAAACCTCAAACCAAGGACTGGGTGAAACACTCAAGTCCTGAAACAGAAGGCAAAGACCATGTGGCAGATGATTCTAGTTACACAGGGCAAATCTCTCCTCTCTCTCCTCTCTCTCTCCCCCTCCTTCCACCTCCCCTTTATTATATAAGGGCACTAATCCCACTCATGAGGGCTTCCCCCTCTGAACCTAATCACCTCCTAAAGGCCACATATCCCAACATCATCACCTATGAGTACAGATGTAATAGGAGTTTTGGTGAGAAACATTCAGACTGTATGTATTCAGACTGATTAACAGAAGAAATATCACTGTCCTCAGTAGGGCTGAAGATCTGGGTTCCTCACCTGCCAGGTCCCCCTCCAAGGGCCTAGGAGGGGCCCTAGAAATACGGTTACATGATTATATGTATATTTATATTCTTTTTCTTTATTCCAACTGATAGAAAAGTTTAGAAGCCCCACGGAATCCAGTTTCCCCATTGAACAGTGTGTTGTGGATATGTAGAATGCTTTATTGTGTGTCCACATGTCCCCATGCCTGGGCACCCTCCTCTTGACTGCCTGCTGATTTTGTCCTGGTTGACAGGTTGGCCCCTTCCTAAAGAGATCTGCCTTTGGTATGTCCTGTGGTGGTTAGATAAAAGGCAGATTTCTCATCTTTGGAGTGACCTGAAACCTTACACAGGGTAGTGTTACTGATAAAGCCAGAGAGAACTGAGTTAAGTGGTCAGAAAGACAAGCAGCCACAGCTTAACCATATCGCATGATGACTACCCCACCTCCATCAGCCACAAAGCTTCAGACAGTGATTTTCAGAGGCTCCAACATGGCTCCCTCACATCACTTATCCTGAAGTTCATTGTGTTTTGCTTGAGCTCTTGGTCCTGCTATGCTAGTAGTGGAGGTCCTGGGAGAGTTGCAGAGGCCACTGGATTTGTTGGGAAAGCAAGTTAGGAAAAACACTACATAGACTGGCATAGGCGCTTGGACCCACATGAGCATGCCTGGGGTGTGGGGTGGAGAGGGCTGTTCTGTACTCAGCACATAAATGCTATCTGGTTTCCCTTGCCTACTGTGTATAGGGGATCACCATCTTTACAAATAGGAATGTGTTAGAATCACTTGACTCCCAGCTCTTCTAGCAATTTGAAACCCCTTGTTTTCTAACCCTTCTTAAATCTCACTATTTACACCCAACACCAACTACCCTGGGGGAGGAAATAGGAATTGCATAAAACTATCTGGTGTAACCCAGCTGGGTTCCCACAAACCCCTCAGGTCAGTTGCATCTACATGTTCCTGCCCTGGATCCTATATACCTTTGCACCAGACATCATTCTAACACCTTCTATTAAATGCCTACCCCATTCCTTTATAGGTTTAGGGGCTCTTCCCCCAGCCAGGGACCTGCATACTCAATTGGGCCATCTTTAGTGGCCATAGAGTGGTCAAGAATTGGGAGGACAGTCAGGGCAGTGAGGGAGGTATGTGGGTTTCTCAGAAATGTTTGGTTTTCTCTAGTGAGTATGAACCCCAGGGCCAAGCATCAAGAGAGTTGAGGTTGTGAAGAAAAGGTGGTGACAGCAGGGTGTGGAGAGTTCTGTGGGGTGGGCTTACCTACAGAGCTCAGGTAGTTGGAGTAGTAAGAGCTCATGGGCTAGGACCATATGAGTAGCAAGGCTGCCTTCCTTCCAGGGAAAACCAAGTAAGATAGGAGGCCATAAAGGAGCTTTGAGGGAAGAAGTGGAGTGCTCTGGGTTGAAGAGGCTGGGGAAGGACAGCATGAATAACGATAAACATGTGGAAATCTCTTCTGCTAGTTCTGAAGCAGCCGAGATTTTCTAAAGGTGTGTCCTCAGTGTCTGGCCATCAAGGCCCCGGATTCCTGCTAAAAGTATTCTCTGTGACATTCAGAAGCTACTCAGATGTTAACTAGAGGATGAAGGGTTCTTTATGCCACGTCAGCTTCCTTGTTTTATAAGTGAGGAGACTGAGGCACAGGGAGGTGAAAAGGCCAGCAGCTGCTAGGGGCACATCTGGGATCCAGTTGGCAAGTGCTCTGTTGAATGGGACCTTTTAAGCAATGCAATTGTCAATTTTATTAAACTCATCTCTATATGTTGAATTCTTGATAAAATTAAAACAGTATTCTTTTTAAAAAAAAAAACAAAACAATATTTTAACCTCTATTATTTTTCTGTCTATGGAAACTTCCAATAAATTTCATCTGCCCTTTACCTAGGAAATCAAAGCATAATGAAGCTTTGGAGCCACTTTAGAGGTTGGCTGTCCATACACATCACTCTCTGAAACCCACAATTACAAGAAGCTGAAAAAGCCCACGCTGGTGCTATCAGGACAGGCTCGCATGTGTATCCTTATGTCCCCTGCAGGCTGTGTAATCCCTCCGTCCTGATGCGGGGACTTCCTTTAACACCATATACTCAGTTGTTTAGTCAGAATTACCTTTTCCCTTACTTAACCTCAACCCCAAGAGATCAGTGCTTTGAACCCCATTGACAATGCCAAAATGAAGTGTGACAAAAATTTAGTAAGCATTTAGGAACGATTCCATAAATAACTTCTTTTATACTCATGTGCCATGCACCCTTTTAATCACCCTAGGATACATATTTCTCTAAACATTTTCATCTCCACGTGAGATATTTGAATTTCAGGAACCCTTCTGATAGTGATTTGCAGTTGTTCCCTCCTTCCCACATGCCTTCTTGGTCAGCGTGACACAATCTTGATGTAGACACCATTTTTGGGACCTAAGGCAGATTTGGATTCCAGTTGAAGTGGAACCTAAAATAGAGGAAATAAAAATATTTGCCAGAGTTAACCATATCCACCAGAAAACTTCCTCAGAACCTAGCCTGAAGCATAGCTTGTGGAAATCTGGCTGTGGGCTGGGGATAGGTGGGCAAAGACACTGTCATTTGGAGCACAGCTCCTTGAGAAGCCAAGCAAGCTGCCCCTCATGATGATCTGACAGGGTCTCCAGCAACACATGGTTAATAGAGCGAATACCCCTTTCTCCTAGGCAAATTAGATATCACTATGAAGAGCACACATGGCTGACCACAGTTTTCACCTGGGGGAGCTGGGTAAGACTGAGCATCCCACTTTGTGCATGCCTTTAATTCCAGTGCTTAGGAGGCAGAGGCAGGGAGGATCTTTGTGAGTTTGAGGCCAGCCTGATCTACATTGTGAGTTTCAGGCCAGCTGGGGTTACAGGGAGATCCTGTCTCAAAAATACAAAAAAAAAAACCAAAAAACAAAAAAAAATCAAAAAACAAAAAAAAGGAAAAAAAAAAAAAGAAATGGAGATTCTGGGAGGCCAAGAGGCCAAGGAATTTGTCCATGGTCTTATGGAAAAAAAAACCAAAACAGCCAAGCCAAGTTCACCACACTCTCACCATCTCCACTGTTCCCTTGGCTCACTGCCCTCTCTCTGGGGAGAGTGTCTGCAGGCTGTATTTCCTGCTAGTCCATGTTGTGGTCTGGCCTCCTGACAGTCCTACAAATTCCTAGTGGCCAACTTCAAGTGCAGGGGCCATGATGGACTTGAAGAAAACTCAAGGAATTAACTCAAGAAACCAGCATGTGTAAAATCAGTCAGTAGCCATTGTGAGCCCTTAGTGAGGATGGACCAGCTGGGGTTTCATGTCAGGTCCTCAGTAGGCTTTCTTCAGAGGCATGTGAGGATTATGCCAGTGGAAACAAGGTCTGTGCCAAGAATCAAGCTGGCCTGGACATAGACAGTGAATGCTCCTCGTGTGGTCACGTGTAAGCTAGGAACTGCAGTTTTGATTATGATCAGAATGTAGCCACCCACAGTAGAGTCACAGCAAAACGAACCTGAAACAGAAGGGAGTTCAGAAAAAGATGGGTTGGGACAAGCAGAATGGGGAGGGCTTACTAAGTAATTCACCTGGGTGGGGTTAGGAATGGGTGAGGCCACATCCAGGAGACTTCTTAGAGGATGGGGAGGGGCACAAAGGGGATACTATTCCAGGACTAGGTTGAGCAAAGGAAGGGCTGAAACGGATGGGGATTGTAAAGTGGGTGGGTTCATCTCCAACTTGCACTCAGGATAGTTCTGCATCCTGCATGCTCTGGGGACTTGAGGCAGGTTCTTGAGCTGGGGAGTGCCAGGTATTTTTGGACACTGGTCAGGACATTTGGGCCCAACAAGCCCCCAAAGGAAATACATTAACTTAGTGAGGCAGTCAGAATCCCCATCCTTTCTGTCCTCTTGGTTCTGCCCTCCCTGGTCCAGCCCTGACTATAAGACCTTGTTTTCAAGTATAACACTTCAATTTTCATCTACTCCAGCCAAACTCACTGTTCTTCAGGACAGCAGCCTGTTCCATTTCTCCTGATTAGAGGCACTGCTGTCTTTGAATCTAGAATTGTCACTCTATGTCACTGTGCCTGTCTGTCCCTTAGTTCTCTGTTCAAGTCTGTGGCAGGGCAGAGGGGCTCCTGGTTGCAGAACCAGTGTGATAGAGGTGTGGAGGAGAGTGACAGCTGGCATTGTTAGGGGACAGCAGACAATACAGAAAGATTGCTTCACATCAAGAAAAGGTTTGGAGCAAGGAGGGACTGGGTTTGCATCCAACTACTTTACTCTGTGGCTATCCAGCCACTCTTCATTACTATTTGTTGGATGAATGGTGTATCTGCCATGGGCTTGCCATGAAGCTAGAGGCTGGAGGATCCAACATGAGTATGACAGGATTGTTCTCTGCTCAAGCCTGTAGCCTGTATGACATCAAGCACTTCTGCCCCTCTTGAGCTTATCTGAAGAACACAGATGTAAAACTTACCTTGAAAGATGGTGACCTGAACCCCTTGGCCTACGTTTTGGGCTTGGGGTATGTGGTATGAAGGAGAGGCAGGGCTGGGAAGGTGGGGGCGCTTTCAGGATGACCGAGGTCTCTGGGTGAGGGCAAAGTCTCTGCCTCTTTAGGGCCCCAGGAATGTTGGAGAATGTGTGTCATCACATGTGATGATGGTGCTATGGCCATTGCAGACAGGGATGGAACCATCTGCAGGAGGGGAAAGCAAGGCTGGTGGCAGCCAGAAGCACTATCTAAGGAGCCAGCTCCTCTCAGTTTCTCCAAGCAGACAGGACCTTAAGGGTCAGGAGGAGCTAGAGGGAGAGCCCCTGGCTTCTGTAGGGAAACCTAAGCAACCCTAAAACCTTTAGAGGTAGTTGTGATCACCTGTGCTGTACAGAGACCGATACTAATAAGAAAATACATCCTGGGGTGGTTATGGATCAGCACTCTCTGATCCCAAGCATTAATTCATCTTCCCTCCCATGAAGGATAAGGTACTGTTTTTATCTCATTCTTTGATGGAGAGATGAGGGTCCCCAATAGGGGAAGGGACTAGCCCCAGCTTACAGGCAGAGGCTGGCTGGCCCTGGGGCAGAAAAGCAGGTGGCCCTGCCCTGAAGTGCCAGGCCCTCACCTGAGTCTCAGGGCTGGCTTCGAAGCGGAACTTGTGCAGGACATGGACCAGCGTCAGCTTGACCACCAGCAGCCCTAGCCGCACTCCAAGGCAACTCCGGGGGCCAGCTCCAAAGGGCAAATATGTGAAGGGCTTCCGCTGCATCCGGGCCTCAGCTGTGAACCTATAGGTCATGTGAAGGACAGGGCTGACTTGGAATGCCTGCTCATCCATCTAAAGTCTCTTTTCTGGCTAAGCAACCTCCATCATCTGAGATCCTTTTTCTCTACATGTGGCCAACAGGATCTTGGGTCTAGGACTATCTCTGAGGATCTGGGTAGCTGGTAGCTGCTGATCCCTGCTTCAGTCCTGCTCCTTAGCTCTGTCCTACCCCTCAGCTCTGTCCTACCCAGCCCTAGAGGTGCTGCTCCATTCAGAGAATCAACTGAATGCACCTCTTGCCTCTCCTTAAGAATTCACTGTCGTCCAAGTGTATATGAAACCAGATGATAATCCCAGACTCAGAGCTTGACCAACACACCCTAACCTGACTATGCCCCACCTCCCCTTGCACAGGAGCATACAGCCTCTTTCTCCTCAGCAAAGCTTGCAGGCACTTTGGCCACATCCTCACACTCTCCAGGGGTCTGATCTGCTCTCTCACCACCCTGACTTCGCTGGTCAGTGTGGGAAACTTGAACCAGTGGGAGAAGCAAGATTTGGAGTAGAGGCAAAATGGCTGAACCCTCTATCAAACCTCAACCCTTGCCATGTGTGCTCTGTGTAGCTAGGTGTTAATCACTAATCTGTGATGAACAGTTTGCTTCTTACCACCTCTGGACTTTCTTGGGATGCTGTGAGCCCTGCAGTTGCTGTTCTGGTTCTCAATCTTTACCATGTTTCCAGGAGCTAATGAGCTGTGGGACTCTGATAACATCCCTTGATCCAGGCACCCTTGATCCATCCAGCACCAAGCTGTGGAATGTTAGCACAGGCCAGTTTCCCGGTGACTAGGTTGTACAGGTGGGCCAGGTTCAGTTGGAGTTAGTAAAGGGAGGCACACAGTAGCCTACCAGTCTCCCTGATGAGTCACAGAGGAACAGGCAGTGACTGATTCTGACAAGGAGTAGGTTGTGAGGACTTCTCAAGTGTTCTATACCACAGAACCTAGAATGAAATTAATAGTGGACCAAATCCGTGTCCAGGTCTGCTGGATCTCATGAATTTAGGTTCAAGGGCAGTTTTGCTATTATGAACTCACTGAATGGAAGTTATATTTTGTTGCTTTCTAGTGCACACACAAAATACAACTCTAGGGGCTGAGGAGATGGCTATGGTTAAGAGAGAGTACTGCTCTTGTAGAGGACTCAAGTTCAGGTTCCCAGCACCCATGTTAGGGGGCTCCAGCTCCAGGGGATCTGATGGCCTCCTCTGGTCTCTGTGGATTTCTCTACTCATGTACATACACACATAATTAAAAATAAAACTAATCTTTTAAAAAATGAAAAGCAACCTGCCTCTTATGTCCTGGCTTGAACAAACAGAAGACATCGTTCCTTATGTGCACTGCTGCTGTCATGCTAGATCTCTGGATTCAGTTTTCCTTTGGAAATGATGCCTTACATAGTCTATGAATTGCTGTGGTCTTTGGAGACAACTATGCCCATAACTCCTGGGTGCAGTCTCTATGGCAAAATTTCTGTCCCATATATTTACATCCTTTAGACACCCTTGATCCATCCAGTACTTGCTTACCTTTCAGGGTCAAAGATCTCAGGGTGTGGCCAGTGCTCTGGGTCATGGTGTAGGGCACCCACAGCCATCTCTAGTACAGCACCTGCAGTGATGCGCTGTCCCAGCAACTCGCAGTCCTGTGCGGCTTCCCGAGTGAACCTGTGGGAGGCAGGAGGTGAGTTTTGCCAGTGTGCAAGTGGGTAGGGGCTATAGGGAATCATGGGGCCCAAGATGGGGTATGGAGTAAAGCTGCTGACAGAAGGCCCAGCCCTCTTTCCAGGGTAATCTAGATGGAGATCAAATCCTTGTCCTACAACCCCCATACTACCTAAGAGCGTCCACTTTGAAGGCCCTTTGGATGTGTGTGGCACTTGGTCAAAATGCCTCCTCTATTCCCTCATCTTTCCATGGGCCAAGTACTGAGGAGCCCTCCGTGTTCCTGGTATTGTAGTGTAGAGGTGCCTTCCAGGGGCTGGGTTCAGGCTGGGCTAAGGGTGGTTTCCCAGCCACTGTCTCTCGTTTTCTCACAGTTAAGCCTCCTTTACTCCTGCCCTCACTGTCTTTCCCCTCATCTCTTATTTGGTAGTCTAGCCCTGTTGTCTGTCTTCTGTCCTCTGCCCCCTATGGGCAGTCTACATGCTCAGATCATGAAAACACTGGGTGGCCCATCAGGTGGAAATCAGCTTTCTTGCTTAGCCCTTCTCTGCATTGACTGTATTTCATGAAATGAAGCTGTGAATAGAAGGAAGCAGACTTTATAGAGACTAGGAAGGCTGGGAACAGTTTGGGACACACAGGAAGAGGTATTTTAGGACCAGCGCCTGGGACTAAGACTATGATCAGATGAGGGAATGGAAGCATCTTTCACAGGCTATACAGGCTACATGGAGGGTGGAGCCAGGGGCTGGTGTTCATGGCTCCTGGGACTAAGACCAGAGCCCAGTCTGTTGAGGCCACTGTGGTGTCTGAGACACCTTTCAGTCACTGGCTCAGGTCTCCTTCATGTGCCTGTCTGTGATGATTGTTCCCAGATTCTATGTCTTACGTTACCACAGCTTCTCACAATGACTATTACTCAAGAACACATGAATGCATCAGGTCCTTAGAACTTGCAGCCCCGAGGCTGGAGATATGGCTCAGCAGTTAAGAGCACTGGCTGCTCTTGCAGAGGACCCAGGTTTGAATCCCAGCACCCACATGGTGGCTAACAACCATCCACAACTCCAGTTCCAGGGGATCCGATGCCCTCTTCTGACCTCTGTAAGCACTGCATGACATGGGTACACTTACACACATGCAGCCAATACACTCGTACACATAAAAGTAAATAATAAATACATTTTTAAAAAAGAACTTGCACCCCCAATGCAGTTCTCTCAAACTTTGCTTTGTGGGCCATGGACTAGCCATCTAACCGGAAGAACTGGCTGTACAGATCTGTAGCCTCGTAATTCCACTTCTGGGACTGAGCATGGGAACCACCTGCTCAAACACAACTTCTCACCTCTTCCTAGAAATTCTTGTCTAGTAAGATAGGACTCAGAAGTAAGTCTACTGTTTGCTTTCAGTGATTAAAACAAACTAATTTATCTGTGCTAATAACATTCCTGTCAGGACAGCAGACTGCTCATTTAATGTAAGACAAGTTTTCACCATTAAATCCCTTCAAGACTTTTGCCTACCTTCATCCACCAAACCCTAACCGTCTTGTCCTTGCTAACCTAACCTCCCCCCCACCAGAGTTCAGATGTCCTTGCCTGACTTCCCCATTCTGAGCATCTGTTGAGTACCTCGGCATGCTTTGGAACTAGAAATAAGCTTCTGGAAATAAAACTAGAGGAAGAGAGCTGAAGAACCTGTTTGCTCAATTCAGGATGTAAAAATGTAGAATTTAGAATTTTGCTCTTGAGCATAGTGTCTTAAGAGTTCTGGTCAGAATTTGTTTAGAATTTTAAAGGATGAAAGCCCTTTTTGGACAGGGTGTATTTACAGCCTCTGATCTTGGTCTCTCTCTCTCTCTCTCTCTCTCTCTCTCTCTCTCTCTCCTTCCCTCTCTCCCTCTCTCCCTCTCTCCCTCTCTCCCCCTCTCCCCCTCCTCTCTCCCCCTCTCTGACTCTCTCTCTCTCTCTTTCTGTCCCCCTGCCCCCACTACATCTGGGCCTGTGGTATTCTATGGGTTTCTTTCTAACTTCATGTGCCTGTCTGCAGTAAACAAAGACCCCTCCTCATCCTCAGTTCAGACACTTTCATTCAAGGTGAAGTGAGGGCTGGGTTGCCCTCTCTGTGCCTGGTATTGGGGTGCAGAGGTGCCCCTCGGGCTGAGTTCTCTTGAGGTGCAAGGGTGGTTCCCTAACCTTTCTCCTCTTTCTACTCAGTCAAGCCTCTTCAATTACCTTCACTCCCTCTCAGTGTCTCTCCTTCCATCTGCAATCTAGCCCTGCAGTGTGGCTTTTGTCTCCTTCCTTCCATGGATGGTCCTCATGCCAAGATCATCAAAGGCATTGGGTAACTCATCCAGTGGACACTCTGCAGCTTTCATTTTACTTGGATTTCTGTGCTACAGATTGTCATTCATGAAGCTATGATAAGGAGAAGGAAGCAGGAAATAAATCAGAGAGACCCAGCCCATGTCAAGGGTCACCCTCAGAGACACCCTATATAGAAAGACTGGTTCCCCACATGGCCTGGATACTGAAGGGTATGCACTCATCCCATTCCTCTCTGCTCCCCTCACCTCAGATACTCCTTTCTGTGCCTCCCCCAGTCACTGCCTGGAATCAGTGTAAAATCATCTACATACAAACTGCTTGAAGCAGGACATAAGTATATCTACAGTAGCCTCAATCCACTTATCAGCTGTTATGATAACTCTGGAATAGTGTAATGCTAGAATTCATCTTGGCAAGATTGGGCTCATTTATTTGTTGTGGTAAAACATAGGTAACATAAATTTACCATTTGAACCACTCTGAAATGTGCAGTTCTCTGGTGTTAAGTATACCCATTGTCAGGCAACGATCACCACCAGACCCTGTGAATTTTTCTCCAACTGAAACTATCCACCACTGACTCCCCATTCTTCTACTGTAGAGGAAAACATCTGGCCAAGAATATAATATGAGGTACAGTTACACTTTGAAGTGCTGGGAGGAGAGATGGAACAGGAGAAATGCGAGTCAGATGTCCTTGCTGTGGTCTTGTGTAGGAGCTCTGGAAGGGGCTGTTGGACACCAGTGAAGGAACATTCCAGCCCTAGATGGGCCTCTACTGGATGTCAGTTCCAAGGATAGGATTTTGTGCATAGACTAATTTCCTAGTGCTTAGCACAGAATAGATAGATGCTTAATAAGTAGCTGGTTGGTGGGTGGGTGGGTAGATGAATAAACAGCAGCATCAGCAGAGTCCATCAAAGGCCATGAGGGCAAAGAGACAGGCTTGGGCTGAGGAAGAAGACTAGTAAGAAAGGCTGGTAATGTTTGGAGAAGATAGTTAACTTAGAGGAAAAGGAGTGAGACTTCGGAGGTCCTGTGCCAGGTACCCCAGAGGATACAAAGGAACCCAGGAACCCAACCCTGCTTTCCAAGAATACATATAACACAGGTAGTATCTTACTGAGAATCAGTGAAGGCTCCAAACTCATGCTCAAGGGGCCAGAGTTGTAAGGCGGCTGAGGGGCCATGACATACCTGAAAGCTGGTGGGTACATCCTCAGGGTCTCTGAGATTACCATGTCCAGATAGGGCAGGCCTTCCTGCAGGCTGCAGTACTCAGGGGCCAGCTGAAGCAGGGGGTAGACAAAGGGAGAAGATCGTGTTAGATGGACTCTCACATCACTTGGTCTTTTTCATGAGCTCTTGCTCATCTTCCAACTTCAGCAAGCAACAAGAGTGACCCAGGACTTAGGGGGTCTTTTGGTGTAGCATGCAAAAGTCTGGCTCATGGTTAGTGTTTTCAACTTGATAGAACCTCGTATCACCTGGGAGATGGGCCTCTGAGTATGCCTGTAGTGGATTGTTAATTGAGGTGGGAAGGCCCACCCACTGTGAGTGCACCATTTCCTGGGCAGGGGGTCCTGGACTGTATAAAATGAAAGAGAACTGAGCACTAGCGTGCATGCATTCATCCCTCACCATTTGTTGATGGTGGATGTGATGTGACCAGCTGCTTCAGGCTCCTGCTGCCTTCACCTCCCTGCCAGGATGAACTTGTCCCTGAAGCTGCTTTTGTCAGAGAATTTTATCACAACAGCAGGGAAGGGAACTAAGGCTCTAAGACTATCATGACAGTTACAGTTGGTGAGAGTTGAAGACATGGCTAAGTATGGCAAGCCCAAGTGCCTGTTTAATCCTTCCAGCAAACCAAGGTGGCACCTGTTTCCCCAGCTTTTAAACGAGGAAGCTGAGGCTCAGAGAGGCTGTCACCTGGGCAGTAATTGGTGCAGTCATAAAGCTAAAAGACAAATAGGGAAATAGCAAAGAAAAGACTGTAATATCTTTCAAGGATGAATAGTTAACAAAACCCCCCAAAGCTATTATATATAAAAGACAGCTCAGTAGAAAAGCTGTCAAAGGGTATGAACAGGCAAAACCCAAGAGGAAGAATGCAAGTCATGATGGAAAAAAAGCAAAAGAAAGCAGTAATATTCTATTCCTCACACATCAGATTAGGAAAAGTTGGAAAACTGATTTGATTTGGGGAGTGCAGTGAGGGCTCCTAACATCTCCTGGTGACTCTTGAGGGGAGGGGCAGATAGGCATGTGTAGTTAGCAGGGTGTGGCTACCCCATGGGGGGCTGGGTCAGGGTGGTGCTACAGGAAGCTTACTGCCCTGCTGATTTCTGGGGGCAGGATTTTCCCTAAGCACTTCTAGTCTGTCACCCCCCCCCCCAGGATGGAAGTTTTCTGGTTGGCAGGTGTTACTGTTTGACTTTGAAATGCTCATGGGCTTATTTCTCCACCTGGTGACACTATTTAGAGGGGCCATGGAGCCTTCAGGAGGTAGGGCCAAGCTGGTGGAAGTAGCTAACTAGAGGTGGGCCTTTGAAGGTTAAAGTGGGGCCTCTGGTTCTGGTCCTGTGTACTCTACTTCCTGGTTCATTACCACATGAGCAACTGCCCCCACAGCTCCAGCCAGGCCATCATGGCTTCCCTTCCCTACTATAATGAACTGAAACTGTGAACCAAGGTAAATCTTTTTCTTAATGTTGTTTGTATCAGATGTTTTGCCATGGCAATGAGAAAAGTAACCAATAAGACAGATGACAGCCTCACTGTTTTCAGTTAAGGATAACCACCCTGGAAAATGCCCCAATTGGGGAGGGCTTCCTTTTGTGTCTCTCCTCTACTGAGCAGCAGCAGGTAGCCCTCCAGGCCAAGCACATCCTTGAGTAGAATAGCCACTACTCTCCATAGATCAGCTCCAGGTAGCTTTATTCCACCTGTAGGGAAGCCACTCACAACCAAGAATTGCCACAGCACCACACTGCTGGGGCGGGGGCGGGGGTGAAGGAAACTACTGGTCCCCGTGTGAGTGCCCTGGGGCAGCAGGAGTGTTACCTGGGAAACTTAGAAATGCAGAAGAGGGTCAGGAAGGGGCCAAAGAACCAGTGGTAGGATAGGAGGCAGGGCCAGGATACCTGGAGTCTTGAAGTCCATCATAAATATTTTAGTCAGTGGTCTAGCCATTCAATGTAATGCAGCCATTAATGATGGTCATGAGTCAAGTTGCAGGAAATGTGTGTAGTTTTATCCCATGCCTGCGAATGTTCATGACTTTGGAAGGCAAAGGAGGTATTTATAATAAAAAAGTGTCAACAATTGTTTGGGTTTTTAAAAATATTTTATTATTTTTATTTTTATGTGTATGAGTGTATTGCCTGCATATGTGTGACTGAACCTGTGTTGTGCAATGCCATGGAGGTCAGAAGAGGGCTTCAGATTCCCCTGGAACTGGAGTTAAGGACGGTTCATAGCTGCCATGTGGGTGCTGGAAATCAAACCTGGTCCTCTGCAAGAACCGTCAGTGCTCTTAACCACTGAGCCATCTCTCCAGCTCCAATTGTTTGGTTTTTCCAATGCTTTCCTACCTCTAGTCTGGGAACTGTTCCAATGTAAGGCTCTAACTTGACCCCATATTCCATCTCAGGCCATCAGGGCTGGGCCACATGAGCATTGAATTATGATAAGGTCCCTGTGCATGTGGTTGATGCTCTGTGAGTGTTGTCTTGAGACTTCTAAGAACTTCACGGTTAGATCTGTGCTTTGGTGGAGAGCAGGAAAGGATACAGGAGCATCCCTGGGGCTACCTGCCCTGGCCCACCCCCTGGACACAGACACAGGGTATGGATGGGGCTCACACATACTGCAGCATCTTAAGGCGGCCATGGTGGCCATCCCAGCCTCAGGTTGGAAGAGCGTAGTATATGTGGTGGGATTGGTCAGAAGTTACAGCGCAGAGATTAAGGTTTCCTGGAAGTAGCAGTCTGTAGTAGATTGGGGCTGGGGCTGTGGAAGGGGAGAGACCTGGACCAACTTCCCTAGTCTTTGTGTTCCTACTGTGTCTGGGCACCTCTACGGTCTGGACTCATTCAGCCCAGCCATTATTTCCAGGCTTGGAGGAGCTCAATTTGGGGGCTCTGTTGATGCCCTCTTCAAGAGCCTTCCATCTTTATGAGTTTGGTTTGTGTTTGTATCTTCTGGTCAGTGAGTTCATAAAACACTGCAATTTCAGTGATTATGCATATGACTTAAATGCTCTGAAATTTACATTGGAAACTGTGCATGATATGAAGTGGTGGGAAAAATTTTCAAGGAAATAATTGAAAATTTAGAGTTTTCTTTACTAAAATGACATTAAGGACTGGAGAGATAGCTCAGTGGTTAAGAGCACAGGCTGGTCTTGCAGAGGACCAGGAAGGAAGGAAGGAAGGAAGGAGGGAGGGAGGGAGGAAGGAAGGAAGGATGGATGGATAGTGGGTGATACCACAATATAGAACTGTATCTCAAAGAGAAAAATAGATCAGATCTGGGAGCCACATCTCTAATGGGTAAACAACGCTGGTTCCCAACTGAAAATTGTGTGGGTTGTAAGCTGTCAAGGTTTGTCAGAGGAGGACTCATTAGGCAAGCTATACTGTACTGTACTGTAGAGTCAACACCTTCATTCACTTCCCCTGCCTGGGCTTTTCACTGCGCCCAAGCTTTGACTCAAGTGTACCTGTAAACATCATCTTGCCTAGTGTTCCGGATCTGGTGGTACTTCAGCACACTCTCTGGGGATTTTGGTGGTTGGCCTGAGGTGGGGCTTGGGCACTGATCCTCCTTCTAGAGCCTGCCTGGAGCTTCCTGAGTGCCCTCTACATAGGTGGGGTAGACAGACAAGGTGGAGGGAGACACCACATTTTAGTTAAACCAGGCCAGGCAACAAAACTCCAGTCAGTCTCAGGGAGCAATCCACCCATTCCTATTTATTTTAGCCATCCCCTTCCAGGGACCTTGGGGACATAAGGATCCTGAGCCTGCCAGCAGAGGGCAGCAAGTGTATGGTAAATGAGGGGTCCCCAGTTCCTGAAAGGGACCTTAAACATCATTATATCCAAATTCTTGATAGAGCGGAGGAAGAATGAGACCCAGAGAAGAAGCCTGTGAGCCCAAAGTCTCACAGTCACAGACAGATGTGTTCCAAGTGCCTCTTTCATTCAGCAGTCCCACAGACAGCACCTTATGGGAGATAGCTGCTGGGCTTGTTGCCAGACATCCAGAGTGACAAAAGCTGTGTCCTTTGGGGAACTGCACTTCTAAGCAAATCATGATGCTGCATGTCTGTTGTGTTCTAGAACAGGTGGGGAGGAGTGGAAAGCTCAATCTAGTTGGGAAACCTTTATTTACTTACTCTTGGGGTTGGTACATACTCCTGAGCAGGGACAGAGATGCAGGAACATACACCGGCTCATCACCTTCCTGGAGCTCCCAGCCTGCCAGGTTATAAGTAAGTGGGTGAAGGAGAGAAGGGGAAACAGATGAAGGACACACAGCCCAGACATTTGGGACACTGGAAGCTGCCAGAGGGAGCTGCATCCACACTCCAGTCTTTATGAAGAAAAGTAGTTGTGCTTGTGTGGACGGTGGTTCAAACTAGCCAGTGTAAAACAAATACTCAGGATCAGAGGACTTTGAATCCAGATGGATAATTGATACATTAAAGGAATTATGGTTTGTTTTGCTTTTACTGTGAAGATGCATTGTGGTCAGGGTTTCGAAATGGACTAAATATAATGACCATGTTTTAGAAAAATATACTGAAAAATTTGCACATGACATGATAGGAAGCTTGGGATAAGAAAAAAAATTGCAAGTGGAGGAAAGGTGGGGAAATCAGTGAATCTAGAATGGTCATAACTGTGTTGAAATGGGTAACAGGTTCATAGGAGTCCTTCAAATAACCATCAAATTTGTACCTGGTAAACTTCCATAATACTAAAAGTCAAATACATAAATAAAAATTTAAGTAACAATACAGCAGTGAGTGGGAAGGACTTTGCAGAAACTCTGGTATGCACAAAGAACTAAGAACGGTTCATCCAGGTTGAGCAAGAGGGGTCATGTGCCACCTTGAGATGAACCCTGGATGGATGGCAGTGCCAGACACATGGGGGAGAAAGGCATCCCATCTGGGCAGCTGCTTATTCCCAGCGGAAGATGCTAGAGAGCATGGGAATGCTGGGTGAGAAGGTGTGGCACATGGCAGGTCATATGGATGCATTTAGAAAAACATGCACAA